ACTCGGCTTGCCTAAAGTTTCCATGGGCCGTCCAGTCTTCCTCCTTTTCCTGCCCGCACCCTGTTCCGGTGTTTGAATCCAACTCCTGAATATGCCAAGTCTCGTGACGTCACGAAGCAAAAGCCTCGACAAAGACCTCGTGGCGAACTCATGCTCTCTGCCAGGGATTTTGCTTTCGAGACGCCTCGACCGTACATTCTATCACGAGGGAGAGGGCTGGCGGAGGGCGACAGTGCCCTGGACAGCCTTGGTTGGCGAACCACGGCCCTGGCATCGGACACTCCAGGGAGAAGGCAGGGGTCGAAACGCACCATAGTTGTGCCTACACCGCCTTTACCGGTCTTATCTCTGGTAAGACACTTGCTAATCGGCGCATTGGTGTGCATGATGACCATTTCGTCTGCAGGCTCGCACGGAAGACGTAAGTTCTTGCATCTAAGGCAACTACAGTAGGGAGCGAGGGGAATGAGGCAGACACGCCCTTCATGTCTAATGAGAGGAGGTGAGCACGGGGAAGCATCACTTCGAAAAGGGCCGATATTAGGGTAACTGACGCCGCTGTCCGAAATAAGTAATAATTCACTAAAGGGTGATTTTAAGCAAAGTTCATCATTCTGGCCAGGAATGCGGGAGCCCATCCGGAATCTCGACCTGTTCCGATTTCTCTATACGGTACCGAATTGAGATCAGGGCAATGCCGCCAGCAACCACATGGATACGCTCATCATCATCGAGCTGGAGAATATCGCCGACTTGCAGAGCGATTGGAGAGGGCTTGGAGTAACTGGAATGGATTGATGCGACCTGATTAGCCGCATCCTATCTAGAGCGCTAATTTACTCAAGGTCTTCGGCACATAGCGTGGTCGCTGGTCGATAAGGCGAGCCGAATTTTAGCTGCTACAGTTCATACCATTCAACACGGCAAAAGCTGCAATATACACACCAATAGTAGTCGGCCTGACTGGAACGAGAGCGCCTCGACGGGTTAAGCAATGTTTGAAGCGGAAAGACTGGGTCGGTTAGGTGTGCTGTTGCTAAGGTGTGTATCGCATCGCTCTTGGGGTTTGTCGTGGTATTTGATTGACCAAGCCTGCGTTGTTCCTCTAGTACACGCCCCTACTCTGTGCGTCCAAAACAGTCTGCCTCTCAACATCTGTTGGGTCGGGTCCGAGTTACCACACCTAGGGTCTTTAGGATTCTAGGGATGCTGTATTCTAGGGATGCTGTTAGCATAGGCTAAGCGCACGCGAGTGGCAAGTCTCATGCAGATAACAAACAGCTACTTCACTAGTATAGTGGCAGCCAAACTTCCTAGTTGAGCCCGCACAAGAAAAATTTTGATAACAAAAGGAGGGCAGTGCCAGATCCGCCTCAGTAGCCGTTCATTGTTGAGGCTCTGCAAGGCTGCACGTCCGCCATTCCCATTGCGGCGATGTTGTGCAGCAGAGAGACACAAAATAGTAAGAGTCAGGGAGGCCGGACGAGGAAAAGAAGTCGGTCAGTTTGTTGGACAGACCGAACTGCACACCGAGCACAAGGTGGCGATGCCACTAGCGTACTGCTGCTTGGGTTGACAGCCGCCTAATGGGAAACTCAATGCGGCGGCTTGATCGGCTAATGAAGGCTGAGTTTGTGTGCCAGTTTCAGTGGAAAGCGCGATTAGGCGTCTTGCGTAATGGTTTGGGAAACTACTCGGATGTATTCGTAGTGGCTGGAGATCAAGGTTGACTAACGTGAGGGCAGTAGCAGGGGGGAGGAACCACACGGAACCGAGACAGAACAGGCAACGTTTGAGGAGCTTCTCGTTGAGTATTTTCGAGACATTTGCCAGACCGGCAGACCTAAATAGGTAGCTGGCCCCTCCAACAGCTTGCACCAAAACCCCGTCTTGGCCTTGAACGTGCTCAAACTTGCCAGGACTTTGAGCTTTTCGCTACACTTCGGCGGCACGTTCTAGGTTGGGGGCGGATGTGAAGCCTCTGCGAATCGTCATATGCGTGGCTTTTGTTGGCACGGCCCTTTCTGCCGCTACTCGACGAGTAAGAGCGTCTGGTGTCAGGGTAGGGTAGTTCTCGAATTCGAATTCAGGCATATGGCAGCTGGCTATTTGGTTTTCGTAAAGGGGGGGAAGGGGGGGGGGAGGTGGGGGGTGGTTGGGTTTGCGTTGAACTTTCCTGATTTGTTCATGTACTATTTATTTGATTTTTATTGCGTGCCCTTCCTCCCAAATGGGCATCATGCTGTGCATATTTGCAATTTGAACCCACGAGACTCCCTCAATAACCGGTTTAGACTTTCTGATTTCCCCCTTGACTAGAGCTTTGATGAGGCCAAAATGTGATGCAAAGTCGTGAGTAGCTGTGTCAGAATGATTGCATGAGCTTCCTCATCCATCCTGCAGCCATCTTATCGCAAGCAAAGGCAACGAGTCCTGCTCCTGCATGCAAACAAGTTCCGCGGCAATTCAGGCCACTGTGCTTGTCCAAGCGTCTCCGGCATGGGGAAGCTGAGGGACATTTTTGCGCGCGTATTACTGATTGCCGCTGTGGCGCAATGCGGCTCCGGTGGCACGACTCCCCGAAGAGGATGCCTGATTTAATCTGTCCTGGTCTTGGAACGCTAGAGTGCCAGAATTCCCACAGCTTTCGCACTCCAGCGGCTACCCACGATCCCACATATTTTGCAATACGTGCAAGAAGCGTCCCTCCGGAAATGAATACCTATACCGCTCGTCACCCTATATATGTGCATTTGTCGTTATCCAGGGCTGTCTTGGTAATGCCCTCGGTGTCGATATCGGGCATATAGCCCCCATCGTTCTGGCATCTGCGGGACTGTTTGCTTTTGCTCTCGGTCGGGGACGTGCAGGATAACGTACAAAACCAATTGGATTCATGTTAGTATTTCTCACGTAAAGGACCCTCTCACAAGAGCATAAATTCCGAAAGGATACGGTCAATTTGACGGTGAGCGCATGTGGAATGCCGCACCACAAAAATTCCATCCCTATCATTAAGGACTTCCTCAACGGCGAGGACTGGTACAAGGAAAAGGCTCTCTGTAGCGGCGTCCTGACGGAGCACAAATTATGTAATGGGAATGATGCGTTCAAGGCTCTAGTGATCACTACACGAATCCCGTATAGCAAAGTGCAGGGCCACGGCCGGGTGGCCAAGAGCAAAGAAAACGGCGTGCAAGGGAAAATCGCTTGTTGCTGGTTTCTTCACAACCGGGACGAACAAGTGAGAACTTACCCTCCACGATCCAACTTGAATGGCTGCAATAAAAAGTCTGCAAAAGCGGTTAATTGATCCCGTCTTCCAAGTTACGGAGCGGCGCCTCCGAAAAGGCATCTGCGAGTAAGGCAACGGCTGCTTGCCTTCCTACCATTCCTGGAGGCAAGAAGACTGCGCCAAGTAGTCGATGTCGTTGCTGCAATGAAGTCGAGGACTTCCAAGGCATCGAGGTCTCAAAAGGGCGCCCGGGGTAGGTAAAAAGTACTCAGCAAGTTGAGGATTTCCACCGCAGGCCGCAAACACACCTCAAAGCTTGTCAAAACCAACATTCTTTACCCTACTCGCAGCCCAATATCCTTACAGTGCTTCGTACCAGCCCTCCCTTCCCAATTATACGCGCGAGCTAATTATGCTCGTCACCTAAGCGCACTAGTCAATTGTTCGCTACGTACTGGCTATTTGCTGTGTAATTACTACGCAATTTCAGGCCCAATGACATGCCGCGGGGAGAAACAAGGTCTACGGCTTCAAAGATAATTCTACCTCTTGCAACACGGCTTCACGCTAGATATATATATAGTCTTGCAAGCCCGCACCCGCTCGCCAGGTCCACCCGCTTGTCAGGTCCTCTGGGGAACGTGGGAATGACGACAACTTCTGCCCGGCATTTTAGCTCGGCAATCGGAATATCCGCGACATGCGAAAATCGGCATAATTCCAATGTTAGCGTAATGCGGATATCAGTTGCGAATTAGGCGACTGCTTGCCGGCTTTGGAAAAAAAATGAGCTTGTACGCCATTGGAAACTGTCTAGATTGCCTCTCAAGATTGGCAAAAACAGCGAATCAGGTCAGTACAAAGGCACCCGACATGATTTACCGCTTTCAGAGCACCTTCATCTACGCCCTGGATTGTTATTTCACACCACGTCTCAACAGTCCGAGAAACGAAAGACGTTACAAGGAACCACGGCGATTGTCCCAACACACGGATCCATATTCTCCGCCATTGGAGTGCCGCTGCGGAACCCGGTATACACACCAGCTCTGAATATTTTCGTACCGACACGTTCGACCATGACAGGGAAGCCGGCGACTGTGGCACAGCTGTCCAGAGACGAGAATTTTATCCAAGAGGGCGCGAAGGATCCCGAGTACGCAAACCGGAAACTCACTAGGCTAGACATGTCAGGCCAGTATGAGTTTTACCTCTCGTATATATTGACATACATCTGGCGTGAGTTCGAGGCCAAGGCGATGCCGCATTTTCTTGTCAGCGGGCTCGGCGTCACGGTCGGATATTTAAATGAGGGTTTGCTGAAAGAGGTCGTGGAACACCTAGTCATCAGAGCGCTCGAGAACAATCCAGCCGCTATCTTGGTCAGAAAGACACTTCCTAGCGGGAGTACCGTGATCAAACGACGTAATTATCGTTTATCAGCTGTGAGGATTTGTAACACTTTAGGCCGAGGTAACTCGGCTGTAGAATAAACTAAAAATACACTTTTCTCATAACCGAAGGAAATTAGGCCACTTAGCCTTTGGGGCTTGATTTTGGAAGAGTATAGATTCACCAAGATATGTATGGATTTTTGTGCATATACAGGGAGCTTCTCTCCTACCGTTTTCATACCGTTGAGGTCCTAAACTTTCAATAAATCTTCCTCTGGTACTTGTACCTACACCCTTTTACATATAGAGTCCTAGACTCTACAAATAATGCTGCTTTTTGGCACGCTCGCGCATCTTCCGCTTTGTCTGTCATGACCACTTCCTCTTCGGTCCATGACAGTGACCAATGTTGCGGGTCAACGACATGTTGGCCATACAGCCGACGAGACGGTATCGGCTCCATAACCAGAAACGACATTAACAGTCTCAAACTTCATGTCTTCCCCTCGATCCTTCCCAAGGATGCTCGCCAGGACGCCGTGACATCCATGATGGAGGAACTGGGAGAACAGAATATTTACAACATAGTGGAGCACGTTTGGCGGACGATCGGAACGGGCCAAATATGCTCTTGGAATGAGTTAGAGCAGGTGTGGAAAAAAGTCAACCTGAACCGGAATCCGGCGCTGAGGAAAAAGGGGGGGTTTGTAAGACGTCCCAGTCCATGTTGAAGCAAGCACATGAACTAACTCGAATGGTGCGCAGTCCGGGTTTCAAAAACGGTACCGGGTCGGTCAACCATGTGCGTGGTGGTCACGCTTTTCATGCTTTTCGTGAGGCTGTGAGCACGGGGGGTGCGGCGTGGCAAGTTAGGTGGTGACTAGCCGTCAAACATGTCTACCGTGAAAGGCACCGGGCCTTTAGAAAGCTTAGGGATCTTGCTGGGCTAACTGGCTGCTGCTATCTATTTCTGTTGGAATGTGGGCCTCGAAGGAGCTAGGCAAAGGATTTGCAGCCTACTTCGCGACCTACTCCGCCACCTATTTCGCCACCACTATAGTAGTATGAAAAGGGGGAGGGCTTTCTGGCACTGCCGGAAAGCCAGAAGAAGAGATACATATATACAATCCATCACTTGAACCGTCAGTTTCCAGCGTGCAGTCACGCGCTGTTGCTTCCAGTACCGGTACCCTGGCGAATCCAACAATCTCGTAGCCTCCTGATTTTCTCTGCGCGCTGGTCACCAGAGCAAAGAGGCACATGGCCTTTTCAAGACTTGAGACATTCCCCATCGTTTACAGGCAGTAGCGTGTTCGGTTGGGGGCCCCGAAACCCTACCACACGGCGGGGGGATAATGAAGAGTGAGAGTGAACGGGTCTGGGGCACCCTCAGAATCTTCTAGGGACTTTCTAGTAGCGTAGCGTATATATATATGCTTGGGTTATTTTTGTTTCGTTGGGGTCTTTCCTAATCTTCTAGGCACTTTCTGCTGGCGCACATATTGGAACGCCTTGTCCAGAAATCGCGAGGCACAAAAGACGTCAGCGCTCATCGCAGAGTATGAGTGGAAAGATGCCTAAAGTCATGTACTGCAAGGCCCTTCGTTCGGTGCTGCATTCCTTGCTCAAATGGAAAATTTGGCGTCACCATGCAAGGCAACCTAACGTTTCAGCATCGGCGCATAACCACCAAGCATGACAAAGGCGCCCAGTCACAAACGAAACCCAGACTCTACGCCCTGGACTGTACGTACGATGCGCAACGAGGCCGGAAGAAAATGGTGGACAAACATTGACATGCCCAGCTTCGTAATAAAATATTTGTGCCGTGGATTGACTCATCATGCTACATGTGAAGGATGGGGCTCCTGGGACTTTTAATTTGAAACCCCCGACTCTGGCGACTTTGAACGCCGCAACACTTGCCGCTTTTACCTGGACAACGCACACAATGTCTGGACAACGTACACAATGTCTGGACAAAGGCAGCGCACAGCCTGCATCGCATCTTCTGGTCCTTGCCTGCCTGGGAGGCCCGTGGATGTGATGAACTGTTCAAAAAATCCTCCAATTGCCTTTTCCCGGGCGGCTGGCTCGAAATTGACGATTTGGTCGTCTCAGAATACCCAGAGGTGCCCCAAACTGGCGAGTTGTTAATTATTGATCAGGGGTTCAGGAGCCAGGCAATGAGAGGGTTGTTTACACCCTTACCTAGTATAATCTAGTGTGCTTTTTTCTTCTTTGCCTACCTACCGAGCCTACGGCTCCGTCGCCTTGGTCCTGCTATTGTTGTTGTTTTTGGTGTGAGCGGGTGGTTGTTGGGCGACATGGCCTGCGAGACCGGCGGTCCACTTGCTGGGGGAGTAGTTGCCGCAGGTGGGGGAGGTGGCGGCGGCGGTAAAAGGACTGGCACCGTGACCACAGGTGCTGCCTGTGCCTGTGCCTGTGCTTGAGCTTGTGCCTGCATCTGTGACTGCACCTGTGCCTGTGCTGGTGCGAGGGGATGCGCAACCAGAGGAGCCTAGGCAATCGGGACTTGGAAACGCGTAAAGGGCTGGCTTGACGGCGACGGCTCGACCTCGGTGGGAGTCGTCTCGTTGGACTCGGCAGTGGCCAGTGGCCGGTGCCCTGTCGACGGCAAGTTATACCTCTTCCTCGGTCCGGTTGACGGAGTCGGCGGAGCAGGCCGCTCTTCTCCTCGCTGCCGCTTGGCGTCGGCTTCGTCCGCGATCGCGTCCCATTCCGGCTCGCCACCCTCTTTTTGGCGGACGAAATACTTCTTAGCCTGCGGGGACGGACTGGTCAGCCTAGGGTACTCTGTCGAGTGATAGGAGAGCTGCTGTGTAGAGGGACACGGGTTGCTTACCATTACGGCCGTCTTTGTCTGCATGTGGGGGGGCAATCGAGCTCCAGTCAGTGCCAAAGGACGGCAGTAGGTTGGGAAAGTCGGTAGACTCGGAGACACTCTAGTTGTGGTGTCTTTTCACTGCTTCATTATGCGTTTCGCCATCTGATACATGCTGCACGCTCCGACTTGGAAATGACTAGGTCCAAGGGGGGTTACGAGGACAGGCTCGAGGCCGCCGGCTTCAAAAATACCCACGTCGTCCGTGACAAGATTGGGCCGAAATATCTTGGTCTTCAAGCACTGTGGCCCTGCCTCGAGCCCTGTCTCATGCCCTATTTCTGTGAGGTCGAGAAATTCGGAGAATACTGGGTTAAACAATACCTTCGGACTATGTGGACAGAACGGTGAGACTGGACGAGGTCTGTAACAAGTTTTTTAGGAGGTCTGACAGCGCTCTACGTATAGCTTCGTCGGTCTTTGCGGCATACAAGGAACCGATTTGAAGAGCCACCCACAGAGACATGCCCTGGGCACCTTGCACAAGAGTGTCCTCGACTGTCAAGGGCGAGAGTGGGGTCCCCGGCTGTAAGCCTTCCTGATTCAATGCACCGCCCAGTTCGGGGTTGATAAATGCCACGATGTCGGGGTTCTCCCCAGGGACCGTTATGGTGTTGTGTTTGGCGAACTGGTTGGGGCTCCATCTCGGGACGTCATCACCCTCCAGTCTTGAAGACACACACAAAAGCAGTGTGAATGTGTTTTGCAATTCCTGGACGTCTTTGATCAGGGCCGGAATCTCATCGCCCTCACACTCATCCAGCCGGTCTAGTCGAAATAGGCCTTAAAAGGTAGGCGGTAACACACATCTTAGGATATCAAGGGCCTTTTTAGAATCGGCGATGGAGATCGTCATTGAGTCGGCGCTATAGGTTTTGCCTTTCGACTGCACGATATCGGCGATCTTGGATGCCAGCTCCTCATCCCAGAAGTCGCTTGGAGCCACCACGAGGTTTTCTTCGGTCTGCTTGGCTGCTGCTCTCTTATTCAGTGTCAACTTCCATTCCATGATGTAGCGCATGCAAGTGGGTGGGTATTCTGCATATAACTGGCTTGGGACCCAGTCCTCATATGGTACGAACGGGAGGGTGTTGCGAGCAGGTCGCAACTCGCTCCGCTGCGGCAACCTCGCGCCACGAATTGGCTGTCTCGCGGGACCAGCGGCATTATGAAGTTGGCTTTACGGCTCGTCGCCGCTGGACCAATCATTTACGGAGTCGTCTGAATCCATGGCCCAAAGATGCAGAGCGAAGGCAGATCGTGCGCGAGTGGCGATGTTTGTTCTCACCTTCGGCACTAGTCACGTCACGTGGTCATCCACCTAACTACCAGCACACATTAAACCACGCAAATTCGCCTCCGTCGCATTACATTACATGTGGCGTTGATTTTGCCTTCTTAAAGCAAATTAGGTAAGTCATCTCGACATCGATAGAAAATGATAGAATTCCCATAGTATCTATAAAGCAACCCAGCCTCCCGAACCCTTCTGGTGTCAAGCTAGGAAAAGGAAATAAAGAGAGTGGAGTGAAAGAGAGCTGAAATGTGCTAAACATCTCGCGAGAAGCCAATGGTGAGGACTTGTGCCGATGAATAGCCGATGGATATCATTCGCCCTTGGATGGCAGAACAGGATGGGCGGTATTCCGGTGGCAACCATAACACATTCTGGCCATTACAAAGAATCCACGTCTTATCCTCCCCCAAACTATAACTATATCTCCCTAAATCATCCAGTGAGAAGACTGAGGAAGCCGAGCCGCGATGGCCTTCAAGCGTCTGTCGGCACTGTCCTGAGGCGGCATCCCAGATCTTTACGGTGTTGTCGCCTGAACCTGACGCAAGCCGTTGGCCATCTGGTGAGAAGGCAACCGACCAAACCGAGCCGCGATGGCCTTCAAGCGTCTGTCGGCACTGTCCTGAGGCGGCATCCCAGATCTTTACGGTGTTGTCGCCTGAACCTGACGCAAGCCGTTGGCCATCTGGTGAGAAGGTAACCGACAAAACCGAGTGGCGATGGCCTTCAAGCGTCTGTCGGCACTGTCCTGAGGCGGCATCCCAGATCTTTACGGTGTTGTCGCTTGAACCTGACGCAAGCCGTTGGCCATCTGGTGAGAAGGCAACCGACCAAACCGAGTTGCGATGGCCTTCAAGCGTCTGTCGGCACTGTCCTGAGGCGGCATCCCAGATCTTTACGGTGTTGTCGCCTGAACCTGACGCAAGCCGTTGGCCATCTGGTGAGAAGGTAACCGACCAAACCCAGTCGCGATGGCCTTCAAGCGTCTGTAGGCACGCATTCCAGTCGGCTTCTACTACTGGCTTCGTACTGAGCCAGTCAGGCTCTTCCGCCGTAAATTTCATTTTCACCAAGCTACAAGTTGGTGCAAATACGAGGGCTGAAGCGTATGCCTGAAGAGGAGCTTGCTCAACTATCCATCTGTAGGAGAGAGTGAATCGATGTGCATCTCGAACAAAGGCCGCTAATTGTCTTTGATCAGTAAGAACCTAAATCTTATTAGTATATCTCTTTAGCGTTAGCAACTAATACCTACAAGGAGGCCTTCCAGCTGTCGTATAGCGATGACACCCTCCGACATTGCTCGGAGTAAGCTGAGAGCTTCGAGCCAGTAAAGATACTTCTTCTCAAGGAAGGCCCGGACGACATCCAGTGTGTTACATTGCGGCATGTCTTCATCGGAAATCGAGTCGCGGAGATGGTCAACCCAGAAAACGCATGAATACCGTACTGTGGCCAGTGGGTCTGGAGATGGTGTTTGAACCTCGTCGATAGGGATTCCCGGTGCCCTCAAATCGTACATATCGCGTCGTAAGCCTATAGACATCGTATTGAGAGATCTTGAGAAGATGCTGTGGTGCACATCCTCTATCCCCTCACGGAAAACCCAGGTGAATGCGTCTTGGGGAAATCGCTGTGTACGCCTGTCGAGTAGAAAGTCCTTGGCCGATTGGTGAATCAGGTAGATCTGGTTGTCTCGGACTGTGAGAAACGACCCACATTTGGCCACGATTCGCCTCACACTCTCGATCGATTTTGTAATCTGTTCCGGTAATCCAGATAAGGCACCAATTTCGGCCAAGTGAAGTGGTCGGTATGCTACCGTCACTGTCGAGAGTATGCGCCGGCAGAGTTCCGAGTCCCGTTTGTGCCGCCTGATCTCATTCAGCATGCGATCGTACATCCCCTGCAGGCCCGGCGGCACTTCTTCCACAATTTGAAGAACATGCCAGCTCTCGACATCCTCTTTACTAAGTTCCTGTAGGACGAGGGCTACCCATAGGAACGTGCCATTTGCCTTATTGCGTAGAATATCCCGTACTCGGTCCCTAATCGGGGTGCCGTCTTCTAGTAATATGCCATCCTGAAGCGATTCAAGGCCGGATAACTTGTCGTCGATATATACATTGACGGCATGAGACACCTGCATTGCGTTTACTTTCAGCTCGAGGCTGAGTCTCGTCCGCGTATCGTCAGATCTCAGCTTCCTTTCAATAGTAATCTCGTTCCGGCTGGTCAAAAGCCATTTCACACGGCTGGACGAAATGCGGACGACGAAGTCTAAAAGCTTTGGTAGATCGACAATGCACTCGTCAAGGGCGTCAACCACTAGGTAGGTTGCCTTCAGGCTCGGATCCTCTAGTATGTCTCCTAAAATATCTGATACGGCAACCCACGCATTTATATCGGACAGCGATTTCCCTTCGTTGATATATCTCCGAACGTAGGAGAGGAGACGTGGTTGCTGGCGAGAAAGGAGGTAGATCAAGCCACGTAGCACGGCAGTTGCGTTATTAATACGTGAGTCGGTGGCCTGGCAGAAAAAATAAGCCAAATTACGACTATATCCGTCGGCAACAAGAGCTCGCTCTAATTCGTTGACGATGCCGCAGAGCAACATGGTCTTGCCCTTGCCAGGATCACCTTTGATCCAGAGAAGACGGCTCTCCGGCCGGTCATGCCATAGTCGAAAGTCAGAGTTATCGAGAACCCAGCGGTAAGCACTGATAAGAAGTCCTCCCTTTGCCTCTTCGATGCGCTTTTTGTCAAGGCGGGGATCGGTCGAATGCAGATTAGCCAGATAGCAATCGTCCTTGCTAATCTCTTCACGCAGCCGCTTGAATGCTCTGTCTTCTCCTTCCCCGTACAGAATAGGCATACATACGTCGAAGATGCCGAATAGCGAGTATGCCTTGTCTTCCAGACGTGTCGTGCTGCGGTTTTTGGCCCACGACATCCGCTCTTCAATGCTGAAATCAGATAGTGCGCTACTTTGAAGAGCTCCGAGGGGAATGCCGGTCGCGTCGTAAATGTGCTGTCCCAGAGACTGCTTATCTCCTAGGAACACACCCTCCACAGAGAAGAATTCAACGATTGTTGGAGCAATGAGTTCCTGGAGGGTCCATCCCCGGGTGAACCATTTGCAGTTTCGGAGCGCCAATTCCCAGCCGGGGTTGCCGCTTCGCTCGTACTTTGATACGTCTGAGAGGTAGACATAGCATTTGGCGGCGTTGCGATACCACTGAAACATGGAGTTGAGAGCACCCTGAAGCTCGGCAGCGTCGGACTTGTCGATACAGCATGTGTCGACCCAGAAGAATCTCAGCCCATCGCGCCAGGCTTGATCTCTGCAAAATCGAATCTTAGCGTAGCTTGTTTTGTTCTCGCCTGTACCGTCCACGAGGTCCCTGAAGAGGACCTCCCCGTCGCCCCATGTGTGTGAAAGTATCGCATACGGCGGAATCTTGCTGTTGGGGAGGTCCTCCGTCAGCCGGACCCCTCCGGTATCGTCACGTTCCAGCAGTCGCATTGCAAAAGACCGCTAGGCCCAACTCTCTCGGCAGCAATCCAAACGAATTTTCGGCGGTGGGAAATGGTGAGCAGGCGCCCGACCCCGGACGGCTAATATGGGCGGGACTGTCGATACAACTAATCAGCAGCTGAAACTGGCGCAGCTGCCAGATAGACTAGAAGTACCTACCGTAAGCAGCTGTCAAGATGCGTAGCGTGAATCTCGGTCGGTGATTGAGGACGTTGAATGTGTTGGATTGGCTATTGTCAGATGGACAAGGGTTGCATGTGGAATAGAGCTCATCCCAGCTGAGCTCTGGTGTGGTCATCCGAGGTGAAAAGAGGCTCAGGGGAGCTGAAATGAAGTGGCCAGTTCAGCTGGTGTGGCTACTTTTGCCACCACCATTGCCACCATTTACAACTATAATAGAGGCCCTCTGGCAGGACCAAAAAGAACAAGGAGGAGAGATCAATGAAGAAAGTTGAAGTGCTGAATCCAACAGAATGCGGTTGTCGTTGTCGTTGTCGTCAAGTCGCCTTTGCCCAACCCCGCACGTTGGGCGTTTTGTCCGCGTGGCGTCTGTCCGCCACGCGCCAATCGCGTATATTTCGAGGCATCTTCATTGGCTGTATTTCGCTGGTGTGCATCGGCGCGCGACACGCAGAAACTACCTTTGCTGAAGGTAAGGTGAGAGTTCAAGACGAGCGCGCGGAATGCATGATGCTATTGTCTGAATGGGCGCATGTTGAACTCTGAGGAGAAATGCCAAGCCTGCCCTGGCAGGGGTCACGTACTTGATCAAGGCAAGTCAGTACCTCCTCTGCGTCATTGCACTGTGAGAAAACCATGTAAGCGCCGAGTCGCTCTATTTACCTAGGGCTACTTTATGGTACTTGCTGACAAAGACGTCAGTATTGTAAAAAGCGGGATGTCATCCGTTTTTTTGGGCGTCACACTGTAGCTTTACGTTTCTCAAGTATCGCTGGTCCGTGCCCAAACACATCAAAACAGTGCAGAGCGGACGCCGAATTCGCTCCTAGCTGTATGGCTGGTTACTATTTGTAAGGAAAGGACACCCCAAACACCAGCCGCGCGCACAGGGTGCGCGCTCACCACTGTTACGATCCTGGTTCAGGCGCGCAGGAGGCTGCACGGAGCCTCCCACTATTGGCTGACGCAAGGAAGTGGGGTAGTTCCCCACTCCGCTCAAGTGCAGCCAATAACGGGGCGGTCAGTACGATCAGCATGGTCAGGGCGATCAGTGGGGGAACTGATCGCGCTGAGCACACTGACCGCACTGAGCTCACTGATCACCTAGGACCAACTCTCTGATTGGTCCGCCTTAGATAGATATATACGACGACCGTAGCCACGGTCTCAGATAGTTCTTGCTTGGTTCTTCAAGCAAGCAATACACATTCACTGCACTCATACACTTTGAGTGGCATTCCGATTTGACTGTATTCCCCGTGCAATAGGAGCTTGCCCTTTGTTCTATCTTCATAATTACCAACCCCAGCATTCTGTGGAGCCCATGCTCCCTTACAGACAGACGACCCTAACAGTCGAGTGGTTTGTAATAACCACCTGTTACCAACTGGCCAGAACACTGCCAGTTGGCACAAGCCATTACGCCACCCCATGGCGCCCCGGGCCTGAGCCCCTGAGCATGTATATAAAGGTGGCCCTCGCCCACCTTCCTTTGCGAGGGCCAGGTTGAAGTCTCACACCAATACTACTCATTGCTCGCCCACCTTCTTACCTGCATTGTGACCACCTTGATCCGGCGTACCTGCCTTCTCTTACATATTGTAATAAGGCTCTAAAGTGTAGGAAACTATAGCGTTCGTGTTGGTGTGATTAGTGCTGTTGATCAGCCTATCTCTAGATTGTTGACTGAGCTCCACAGCATCTTGAAGAACCTCTACTCGTCTTGGCAGACCCACTAGAAGGTTCTGGAATACAGGACTAATTTATGACCCGTAGGCTTCTGGAACCTTCTGGAGGGCCTGCCTCTAGTCTATATAAGACCTGTCTTTTCCTTAGATATGTTTCCTTTCTCTCTCCTTGAGCAAGCATTCGCACTCACCACTCTTTATACTGTACTCTCTTTATAACACAACTCCTCTTTTGTTACAATCTGGACAACAGGTCCACGGAGCTAGGCCCGGCCTAGGATTGTGGGGGTCTGGACGGCAGATAGGAGATGACAGGAGACAAGGAGTATCGTGCACAGATTGCGAAAGACAGGCTTTCAACACACAACCAATGTATGCTTAACCAGATGCATTGATAGCTGCAGAACCGTTCTCCAGAGAGAGCGTGCTGCCAGCTCCTATATAGAACTATGAGCAACCAATCAGAGTTCCTGCCTTACATGCTCAGTCGTGCTCAGTCCTAGACGCACTGATCCCCACTGAGCTCCCTGCTCAGTGCGCTCAGTGGGTCTCGGCACTGATCCTACTGAGCTCAGCCATGCTCAGTGCACCTTGGCAATGGCCCCACTGAGCACTCCCTAATTGGATGCACCTTCTCTTAGCGAGAGCCCCACCCTAAGTGCCGTTCCAGCCAATCCGCAGCGGGCGGGCAACGCCCTCTGCACCTTTGAACCAGGATCGTAACAGTTTCCTTACACTTATATCGGGCTAGAGGAGGCGGTACTGTCTATTGGTCTGTCGTCGTTGGGGTTGGTCAACTTATACTATCTCCTGGGTTAGGTTAGTGAGGAGTTGCTGTATAGATAAGTTCGGAAATGTGAGGACCCGTCCACCAAACTGGCCCTCAAGCAGCCAGAGCCGCCCAGAACCCCCGGGCCTATCAGAAGCCTCCTCGAGGCCCCACCTACCCCACTGATAGATGAAAACTTATTCGCGAGCACGCGACGCGTTGTCGGACTTTTCCTTCTTTCCCTCCTCAGTTTAGAATCTTCGTCGATAGCACCCAATGGACTGAGTTCACCTCAATGCCTTGCCCTGGTCGTGACAGGAAACGAAGAAGTCCGGAGAGGAAGAGGAAGAAAAAAAAGCTAGATAATAATAACTAGGTTTTACTCTATCCGTAAGTATACCTTCGTAACCTTGGAGCTCTTATCTAGCCTACCTACCTCATATGAAGGATCCAGCAAGGCAGCAACGCTACCGATTCCCACCTCGAAGAACCGGGCCTTCTCCTAGCTTTAGACGTTTCATATAGCGAGGCTTCGTCCAGGATAGCAAATTCCGTCTTGTGCTTGGTATCTAATTCTGGCCGGGGTAGAGACTCGAGTTTTCTAAAGCGCCGCCACTCGTGAGCCATTAACCGCTGGAAGCGCTCTATACGGTAAGGAAAATACGAGCCCTTTTATAACCACCTCTAGTCTATTTGCCCCTGACCACCCACAGTCTCCCTTCGAAATCCAGCCGAGTTCAGTCTCCTCTCTCCCTCGGCGCTCATCCTCAGGTAAGAGAATCCTCTGCTGTGGGAATGTTCCGGGCTTCTACGGTATGGTAATGATAGTTCTGCTGACTAGAAGGTAGAGTCGGTTTCTAGCTTGTCCTCAGGAAACGAGATTCCTTCGACAACTCCTTCGTGAGAGGTCATTCGACTCTGCCAACCTCGGGTAGACAATATTAGTCTATATCTTCGATCGCCAATATCATCGCAAGTCTCGCATTCATTTACTCGGATACGGTCGTTTCTCACTAGCGCCAAGTCTATCTTCATTTCACTATCTAACAACTCCACATCTTGCTTCACGTAAGTGACTACCTAACAGGACGGCGGCAATAATCTGGGATTTCCTAGAATAAAGACTTATATGCCGACAACTCCTACAGTCCTGCCCAATATTGATATGTCGGGTGAAAGCGACGGCGACGCGGTACATAAACCGCCTCGCCAGAACGGCGAAAAGAGTGGGGAGCGGAATCCTACTCCTCCCAAACAAACGAATAGCGAAGAGGGCGAGGAGCCCACACACACACCATCTCTACCTTTGACCGAAATCATAGGTCAAAATGCGATAGGGCCAGTCTTGCCACATGTTGAAGGCAGCTTGGATAAATAAAACAGCAGGCAGGCGACCATGCTTCGACAGTTCGATACTGTGTGGGAAGCACGGCGGCGAGATCGAAGGAGTTGCGCCGAGAATGAACTGAGTGGATGGACGGAGCGCTAGACGACAGAGTGGAATTTCTTCGGCATGTTATCCCTTTGCGGAAGAACAGGACGACGCTGCCGTGAGATGCGTCAATGGCACGGCGCAGAGAAGCTGGCTAACCTTCGTAGAAAGCAAACCATTGCTTTCATTCAGACCGGGGCCTAGTTACATTGATTTATCCAAGGGCATGTTCGCCCTGCGGATGGCACGGTGAAGGAAAAAAACCTGCTGGCAGCCCACGCATTTTTCAAGTAAGGCAGCTCCTGCTGCTCTTCCAGGGCTCAACGACTACGAAACCTTGACGTTTTATACATCATGGCTCCTGTTCTAGCGGAGGCGGGAGGTCAGAGGATCAACACTCGGGCCATATCTACAGCACTGACTTTAGTGTTGGTGTTGGTGGTATTTCTCGGCTTTTGCGTCTTGCGGCGAGCCCTTCACCTGGCAATCAGAGAGCAAGTACAGGTGCGGCCGAAGTCGAGAGCCAATGCATACAACTCTGTCCGATCTGCACAGAACGATTTAACAGCGGCGACCATGTCCGTCATCTGCTTTGTGGCCATATTTTCAACCCGCCCTGTTCAGCCTCGAGCGGCTCCACGCAGAATTGGCACGCAGTGCAGCTTCGCACCCGGGGTGGTCGGGGCTCAAAATCTACTGTACGGGGACCATTTGGCGGCATGCATCTCGCTAAAGTCCTGTTCAATAACTCACAGAGGTGGTAATAGCTATGAGTTTCGCTGGTGCAGTGACACGTGCCGGACTTGTCCCACGCTGTCGTGGAAGCCTCAGCAGCGCAATCCATTTTCACTCATTGGCCAAGTAACATTGCATAGCCCAAAGAAGGACAACCTTTGCAAGGTATGGGGTGTTTGTAAACAGGCTGTTGTAGGTGTGCGCTGCGCTGTTGGGGGGCGCTCCGGGCGGGATGAGAGCTGCGTCACTCGTGGTGCATCCTCTGGACTTGGATTGCGGAAATCTGTTCTTAGTCCTGCTTTGAAAGCGTTACGGCTTTGGCTCCATCAATGGTCCACATGAATCCGTCCTTCTCAAGACGCGTTGGCTGATACCACGCCACATCTAACTCGGCCTTGTCCGTATCAATCATTTATGCCCTCTGCCGCAACCTCCTTTTCTGCACCCCCAGCCTGAAGCTGCGGCTCATCGTTGTTCGAAGATGTCCAAAGAGTGAGATTGTCACGGAGGAGCTGCGTGGCGAGGTTCGTGATACCGCAGCTCGAACCGCTCCACATCCGCCACGCGCTCTTCGATCAACTTTAAGCCAGCCTCGCTTCTCAGGTCCACGATATAGCACGCACCGATAGTGGTCATTAGCGGGCCTCAAAATGACCGGCATACCGTAGCCGTAAAGTACGCAGGCAATATCCCCTGCTTCCATGGCCAAGGGCACCAAACCAACGAAGCCGGTCGACAGCTCAAAAACGCGTACTCGATCGGCAACACGGACGCTCAAGCCTCTGAGCCGGTCTGCTCGAGCAAGTTCGCTGCCTCGTAGTCGACATGCCTCCTCCATCCACGGCTCGGCCATGTCAGCATTGCGATAAGCTAGCCTCCTGAAGGACTTGAAACTAGCCAAGTGAGATTCAATGTCCAAGCCCAAGTTGACCATGGATGACGGCACACCAACCGGGGCAGCTTTCGCTTCAAGACCAAGAAAAGTCAAGGCCCAGCAAGCCTGCTTCAAAGCACCTTGTCTCGTCGGAATTTTGGGGTCAACCGCCCACAAGAGACGCAGGACCGCTTGAAAACCGGGGATTCCAGTGACATGAGCCGAATGTCTCGTACAAAAAACTCAGATATGAGACTTGAAATTGCACCTCTGGTCCCGGGGGGGGGGGGGGGGGGGGGGGGCGATTTGAGGAGTCGTCGAGCGCGGGATACATGTCCTTATAGTCGAGGAGCTTGTTTTCACGCTTTCAACATGCCTAGTGGTAACGGGCCATGATTATGCCGTGTTGAACAGTTGGGTGCCCAAGACGGTAGTTGGTGTGGTGAGTCGGTAGGTTGGCTCACACCTGCATCATCGAGGAAGACCAGTGCTATTGAGGACAATTGTCGGATAGATAGGGACTCTCTTCTAGCTTCGATCTATGCGGAAATAAGGTCCAAGTACGTAGAGCTAACCGTTTCCCCGTGCTCATGGCTAGGGACAATAGCAAAGGGGCAGACGCCGAGAAAGGCCTAGATTTGGTCCTTGGGGTTTGCTGCAGTGAATTGTGGTGCCGCCATAAAGAAAAAACCTCATCTAGTACCATCTTTCAGTTCTCCATAGACTTGTGGCCGCTTTTGAGACATTGGCGAGTAAATTGTATCCATGGCGAGATATCCTTCAACTGTGAGATGGCGCCAAGCGTTGAAGCAGATCCACTCGGGTCCAATAATGAACTGTCGTGATGCAAAGGATTGTATGGTTTTGATCAGACCGTACAAGAATTCTGAGAGGCAGCTTTGGCTGGTAGCTATTAAGAGGCGGTTCAATTTCGCCAGGATGATTTCCTATAAGGTCCATACTCTTCGCCAAAACTGAAGGCGGAAAACTCCTGCGTAGAAGTCCAAGCTATGTTAGTGCTGTTAGCATCGTCTAGGTCACCCGTGTCTGCTGTGTATAGGAACGGATATTGCTTAAAAGAAACCCAGAATGATGACTACCAGGATACGTCTGCCGTTATACAAGAGACGAGATCAATGCCATATCCGGGCGCTTCCATCATGCTGAATTCGGACAAAGAATCGAAGACTTCGTTGCTGCGAGCGATTTTTATCAAGGTTTGAATCGCTTGAATGGCTAGCCGTAGATGGGGGTGGGTCTCCTCGTTTCCAAGCCACGAGATGACCAGCTCGGCCGTCGAGTAGAGTGCGCCCATAAGCTGGACCTGGTTGCCCCAGACGTAGGAGAGTGCGGTGAACAGTGGTTTGTCATCGAGGGAGACAGTTCTGAGGTTGCAGATGATCTGGGGTCCCGGAATTTGAGGTGGCTAATAGCGGCTGACGTTTTGGGCAGCCGACGGACACTATCACTACGGACGCCATTACCAACACCACAATCACCACCGTCACCACTGACACCACCACCACTGACACTACAATCACCACCGCCAACACGGTAGCCACCACCGCCGCAGAAAGCAGCAGTGCCCAGGGCATAACCAAGAAGCAGGGCAAGAGGAAGTGTTTGCCCGAGCTGCGGAAAAGCGTCAACGAAGAGATGCGTAATGCCGGGGGCCGCTGGAAGTAGGTGAAAAAGTTCCTCATCTTCCTGCCCTGGATCTGACCGAGCAGCCTGCCGTGGATGAGGGTACGTATCGTGTGGGCCCTGGTAGTTCTCGGGCTCGAGACGCTGCTTTCGCTGTACATACCGCACGTACACGGCACCTTTGTCCAGAGCGGAGCGTGGTGCAGGCGTACGCCGACGGTGATCTCCTCCCGGTGTGGAAGGCGCTCGCGCTGCTCGTCGTCGTCGAATTCGGCCCAGGCTCGAACCGGATATCGTCGTTTAGCACCTTTGCCGCCACCGCTCTCGTCGTCGTGCGCGGCTCTAGACGGGGAACACGGTCAGGCCCGTCGTCGCCTTCGCGGGCTACTGGAGAGAGGCCTTGCCGAGAGAAGGTTTTACCGACAGAAGGGTCCATCCATTCCCTCCTGTCTTTCTGTCAGCGCCGTGTCAGGCGAGGGCGATATGCCTGGAGATCGGACATGCCTGGGCATCGGACATGGCTGGAGGAGTGACGGGTTTTGTGCACGTCTTACAAGTGTAAAGCCCAAGAATAAATGGCAAGGCAGAGCAGGGCAGAGCGAGCAGAGCACGGCAGAGCAGGGCAGAGCAGTGCGAGGTTGCGCACTGGAGAGCGGGGTCTGCAGAAGACAAGGACGACAGACCGAGACTCAGAAAGCGCGAATCGACGTGTTTTGGGAGGGTGGAATGCCTATAACGACGCTGTTGTGCTTTCAAGGAGTGTGGGGTCGGCAAAGGACCGGGGAGGAAAGAGCGTGGTGAAAAAGAAAGACGGGCGATCAACGAAGGGCACTTGTTGAAAGGAATAGACTGGGGAAAAAGAAAAAAAAAGATTCCAGCTCGCATCCGGTCAGGCTAGACGCCTTCCTTGCTTTAAACGCTGGCTCAATGCGTGGACAGAAAGTCGGTCGGCCGGTGGAACTAAATTGGCCGGCGCCTCTTGGCCGCCCCTAGCCGCTCCTTAGCTCATCTCGCCTCGGTTCGCCTCACTTTGCCGCCTCTCGAAGCTTTTTGCCCGGCACAGCCCGCCTCGTGCCCGAGAAACGGGGCTACTGTCTGTATCGTCAGGCGTCTAGCCCCACTTGTTCTTACCTGAATGAGCAGTTCCCTTTCATTCCGCAATTTGGGCAAAACACGGGCGGGCGAGCACGGATGCAGTGATTCCAAATTGGTTGCCTCGAGTTGAGCGTCGTTCCGAGTTGCGCGTCGTTTCGAGTTGCGCGTCGTTTTTCCGTGCAAGTCAATCACTCTGACCGAGTTCTCTTCATCCGAGCCTGCCTGGGACTGGTTAGCCCGTCACGCGCTACGCGACAAGGCCACCACCAACTATACATAGCCTGGCTAAGGCTCTCCGCTTGAAATTTGGAAGTACTTCTTTCCTTGTCACACTCAAATTTGGCCATGCACCTCTCATCATTTTCCAATGCTCCCCCAAGGCCACGCAGTCCAGCGGCGCAAGCCACCGCTTCTGATCCCCGAAGCCTTGCGCTTTCCTGCCCACTCACAAGGACCTTTGTCCCTCCCTCCATCTCCTGAGAACCCTGTCTAGCACACCAGCGAGACGCTCTGGTGCACCATTCTGCATGCACATTTCACGCCACCGCCAACCAGGACGGCCATCTTTACTCCATCTCTGGCCACTCACAGTGCATGCATTCACATGGCCAGAGAACGGACACCCCGGCACACCAACTAGAACAGCCCGACGGCTTTCTCCACATTCCTCGCTAAGCAACCCCATGGCGCCACTAGGCACACTCTTACGCCCTCACAAGGCGCTACAAGCTGTCAGGGGCCTCTCCTCACGTTGGCCTGGAAGGCCTCTCAGAGCCAGCTAGGGGGCGGCGCAGCCAGCGAGGCACACGCGCCTTTTACTTCTCTATAAAGGTCCTGATAAGTCTAGCCTCGATTATCGCCAGACGTTCCTTTCCTCAAAACTCTCCATCCATTTCACACGATGAAAGAAACAAACTAAATATCTTCTCTTTCTCTCATATAAGCGCGAATCTACTCTCAAGGCCCTATATTTAGGATATAATCATTAGCGGATCGCGAGACGGCCCGCAACAAGCACGCCGCGCTCGTTCCCTTTGCAGCTTTCTTTTGCTACAGCATCACCTCCTATCGAACTACGAGATGCAGGAGCCAGTTATTAGTGATGCCTCGAAGACAATATGCCCAAGCGCCAAGGAAAGCTCGACTCCCCAGCTCGACTCCTGTGAGCCACAGTGAAAGTGAGCACGGAATATGCATTTTCCCTCCTGCCTGGCCCCGGACCTTGGATATACGCCGGGCCTGGGCCAGATGCGTGGCGGGCAGGCGGAACGGGACGCCTTGACTCGCCCATGCACACATGCCGAAAGCTTTGGCCGGGCCGCGAAGCACATCTCATGCCTATACATGGGAAACCGGGATACTCGCAGCGTGCCGCCCGCACTCTGACGATGCTTGGGTGCGTCTTCGTATTCACCGTCTCGAGTTGTTCATGCCCATCTCCATCACACGACTCTGGCCATCACTCGACCCAAACCTCTTCACCCTCTAACGCAGTGCCATCAGGTTCTGCCGGCCGCTTAAGGGCAGGCCCGAGGTACTGACGAATGGCCGGCCATCAGAGCCGAACGGGACTGGTCCCGTCATCAGACTCTGCCCATCATGACTTACGGCCTTGGCGGTCTTTTGCACTATCCATGTTTCACCATGTTTCACCATCCATGCCCGATTTGCTACTGGGAGAATGTTTGCAAAGCTTGGAGAATAAATGAGAGTATTTGCAAGGCTTCAAGGAGAGTACATGAGAGAACGACCGCCTCCGCGTCTTGTCCTCCTTCCTTCTTCAAGCAACCCAGGCGGCCACAACCCAAGCGGCCACAACCCAGGCGGCCCAACCGAGCGTAGGATATGAGCCTCACATGATAACCCCCACATGATAACCCCCACATGATAATCCCCCATCTCATTTGCGAGCACCGCGTAAAAAGAAGCTGGCGAGAGAAAAGCACATGAAATTCCCATCTCCACACAACGAACGTAATATACCCGAGGCCACCACGCCTGCGAGGTAGGCTTGAAAATAGAAACCCTCCTAAACAAACAAGAATCTAAGAAGCAAGAAAGGGAGAGAGAGAGGCGCTGCCTGCAGCCTGGCTGCTAACTGAGGCCGCTGCGCCCACGGATGCGCCCACGGCCCACGCCTCACGGCTGGAAGCAAGTCAGTTAGCTCCTAGCCAAAATTGATTAGCTCCTAGCCAAAGCTAATTGACGCAGCGCATCCGGACTGTCTCGTCCGGGGCCCGTGGGCACCGGTGGTCGGCTGTGCGGTCCTCCGCCATGCCCGTGCCGCTGGGCCGGGAATGGCTGCTGCTGGGCCGAAAATGGCTGCCGCTGGGCCGGGAATGGCTGCTGCTGGGTCGAGAATGGCTGCGGCGGCAGGTTCAGCGAGATGAAGACGCGGAGCGTTCCGAGGCCGCTTTGCTGCGGCGCCCCCGCCATTGCTGGTCCATGCTGCACGAATTCGGCCCGCACATCCGAGACTCGGCTCGCCAGGCAACGCGACGTGGTGCTCGGACTGGGAGCCGTCTTGAGCACAAGCTGGCCGAGAAGTCTCCTGCTCTCCGAGTCGCCTTGGCAGTAGGGCTCCATTACCGTGATTGCGAACCCGAGGTCGGCCTTGGCCCCTGCGGCAGCCTCGGTCTCTCCCGCCGCGCTGCTCCGCGTAATGTCAAACCACAGCGCCAGTTGCACACTGGTTGTGCACTTGAACATGTGGTGAGTTACGCTGCGCTCCAAGACCCGCGTGCTGACTTGGACTGCGGGGCTGCCAATGCTGGCGGCCGTCCTCATGAGATTTTCGGCGACCGCGTCGTGAACTGTCAGAGCCGAACTGCTGGAAGGCATATTGCACTGGAAAACGAGATGGCCCGCCTCCTTGTAAAGACGATATTTTTCTTTCTTGTCCGGGCCGAGCGAGGGATAGGTTTCTGGCCCACAGTTCGAAAAGGAAAACGGCTGCTGTATGCCGTACGGCGCTTTGGCATCCCCTTGCATGCTGCTAGACCATTGCATGCTGCCATCGTGCGGGAGGAATTCTTAAAACTAGAGTCAGTCCCCCTCTCGTCGAGTATTATTTTACAAGTAATAAAAAGTGACGCACTGCCTACCTGGCAAGACGAATGAGCTGCTGCCAGCGTCGACGCCGAGCTCTGGTCCGGGGTTGGGAAAGGGAGGAAGGCCGGCGAGTCCGCTGGACGGCCAATATTGTTGGCTGGAGTGCCAACATGGTTTGGAGGACTGCCAATATGCCGCGGCGTCGTCGCGTGCGGCGTCTTGCATCGCCATGGCCGCTTATGGATCTGTGGTGCGAGGGAGAGCTGGAACACATGGCGTTAGGATTGGGCCCGGGCGTGACGAGTTTATAACCAGAGGTGCACCAGCAAGATTGGCGGTGTGGATAATAGTTGCGTGGTTAGCACAGAGGATCTTCGTTGCAACCCAGAACTACTCATTCGGACGAATATGACCAGGGGCGCACCGGCAAGATTGACGGCGTGGACTATAGTTGCGTGGTTAGCGCAGAGGAACTTTGTTGCGAGTCAGAACTACTTATTCGGTCTTCGTTGCGAGTCGGATACTACGACGGTCAAGACCACAAAGCGCCAACATTTGTTCCCGGCGACAGAGTCATGCCCTCGGGCCTGGCTCTTAACTTGCAGCGTGTGCCCTCTCGTCTCCTGGCGGTACAGACAGCTAGCTGGCCGGCCATCGCGTGGTTAGCCATCATAGGGTTGGAATGGAGGGGTTGAAGGGCGCCAAGAGGTTGTGCTGCCAAGTGGACGCCCTGAGCGGCACCAGAGCCCAATAACACGGGTGCGGCCCGAGCCGCCGTGGCTGCAGGCAGGGCGCAGGCAAGCGTATGGAAGCTTGATTCGAGAAGGGGCTTTGGAGACTTTTCCTCATCTCACGGCCATTCATATTTCATCGTGTCTTCGTACAAGGGAAACGATGCCGCTGACGACAAGACTCGGTCGAACAGCCGTTCGTCACTGGGAACTGTGTTTATGACCAACGTTTTGGCGAATGTAAAGCGGCCACTTTCGAGGCTTTCGAGCTCTCGGATGCAGAGCTAACCGACGCCATCATAGTCACTTGTGCGGGGCCGTGCGAACTCAATTACAGGCAGGAAGCGAGCGAGCGTAATTAAGGGCCTTTAAGGTTCAAAGCGGCTTACATCTAGGCGACAAGATGGAAGGAGCCGTCGGGGTGCCGATGAAGGGGGCGCATTACCTAACACCTCTCCGTCTTCTCCTCGCCGAGCGCGCTTCCCACTGCAGAACGCGCTTCCCTCTTCCCGCTTCATCCATTCCGCGCAACTTAAACATGTCCTTCATCACCACTTTCGACCCAGACTACCATGCCGGTCTCAATGTCCAGCTCTCCTGCTTTGACCAGCTCACGCATGACCAAACGAGACGATGCGATGACTTGATTGTCAAACTCGGCCGCCTCAACATGACGCGCGACGTCCCTGGCGATGCTACTCGCAAGGGCCTGTGGGATAGAGTCTTCTGGGGTTGGAATACCGATATGAAGATTCCGCCTCCATACCCCAAGCAGCGCGACCGTGTTTGCGAGTTCTCGCAGGTCGGTATCGGCTATTTGGCTGTGGACCTGCCAGGCAGGCAAGGTGTTGGATTCAGCACTTCAACTTTCTTGATTGATGTCTCCTCCTTGTTCTTTTTGGTCCTGCCAGAGGGCCTCTATTATAGTTGTAAGTGGTGGCAATGGTGGTGGCAAAAGTAGCCACACCAGCTGAACTGGCCACTTCATTTCAGCTCCCCTGAGCCTCTTTTCACCTCGGATGACCACACCAGAGCTCAGCTGGGATGAGCTCTATTCCACATGCAACCCTTGTCCATCTGACAATAGCCAATCCAACACAAGGCACTGTGACCATCGCGCGCAGGGCAGGCGCAAGAGTTTACCTCAAGCCGAGAGTTTGCCCGGACGGCTCGGGTATATTCTGGTTTCTAGTAGACAAGAACGGCACCGACGTGCCTCAGGCGTGCGTGGTTGTCAGCTCCACGTCTACCTTGGAGCAAGACCAGACCTTCGTTTCGGCCAGGTGGAACAGTCAGGAGGCCGACCGCGTCCGGCCTTGGACTATCGGCCTCGCTGTCGTCTGGGCCCGCCACCGACTCGTCGATTCGGTGGAAGCGGGCGAATGCCGGGCCGGCACCCCTGCGTCAACATACCAAGGGGACAAGTCCCAGCTGCACGCGCGTATTCCCGAGAACCACGAGTGTCTGGTGCAACTGCGCCAGATCTCGACCCCGCTGAACGGTTTGGCGGCCTCGAGTCAGCCCATCGTGCAATCCTACTCACTCAGGCGCACCATCTAAGGATGTGTAAGGCTGGCGTGGTCATGGGATACAGTGGCAGCCGCTAACCGGGAATTATAGGCGGCACGATATTGGAGGAAGGGGAGAGTTGGTCTAACGCCTAAGCATCATACCGCATCGCCTTGAGGGAAAATGGGGCTGAGAGAGTCGAGGACAAGCACAAAGTGTGGGCGGGCTGCGTGGGAACTGTGTCGTTGCCGAGAGTGCATCTCTGGTACGCGCGCTCGGGATTTATTTGCAGTGTCTGAGGGTGAAGGCGGGTTTGCAAGCGGCTGTACCTTACCTCGTTTCCTGGCGTATTCTGGCGTCTAGTTCAGCATTGATGAAGGCCTGGTTCTGGGCTCGGCCGTCTTGGCCATGTTCTAGTGCCGCAGCTCATTGAAGGCTACCATAGAGTTCTCTTGCACAGGGAGAAGAATGAAGGGCTTTTCCCAACGAAGAGGTGGCCTCACCAGGGGGCCGTGAAGTTGAAAGACGCGAGACACTGCTTCGGCATGTTGAGCCCCGGAGGTATTGTGGCCAGTTTTTGGCTTTGAATACATTTCGAGATACGGTACTACACAAGTGCTTACCGCTCCGCTTCGCTGCCAGCAGCGTCCGTACATCTCCCTTCAGTCTCGTCACTTGTTTGTCGCGTGCCTTGAGACGCCGCACTCGAACGCACCCTAGTATGACGTATCGCCCGACTCCCCTCGAACACACGGCCCAGATGTCATGCTCCAGTATGCGGAATCGTCGTCAATGTTGTTTGGTTCAGCTGCCGTCGATCCCCATGTAGTTAGCGTAAGATGCGGTGGTTGGCGAGGGATACCCGGAGAAGCAGATTTGGAAGAGCAGCAGAGAGAGGGCCGAAGGGTTTAGCAAGCTGCCCGTCTACGCTTCGTCTCGGTCACTCTAGTCGCAGAACAGAGCGCGTGACGCAGAACAGAGCGCGTGAAGCTTCATGCTTTGCCGCCGACCCCCTTGCAACCCATCTCGTAAGGCCTGGAGACGCTGGAGGACGGTGACGTTCTGGAAGTACTATAATGAGCACCAGTAGCTTGCTGCCGGCGAGTTTATAGGGCTTCGTCCTGGCAGCTGTGCCGAGCCGTCTATTTGTTAGACAGAGAGCACATAGGTCTGGGGGGAGAATGGTTCCCTATCGGTTCGACCGTGCCTTTCAAGAGGCTCTATGTTGACAATATGTGACACATCTATGTGATACAGATGGAAAAGATGTATCGAGTCGTCCATGTTTGCGAAAACGACTCGAGGCAAGCCCGGATAATGCCCCATGCTTCATCCTCGATACGATACGGGAGACTTCGGGGCCCGTAATTGACAATCGCCGTTTGTTCGTCGATGTAATAGGAAGAGTCAATGCTGGGGGAGGGAGGGCAGGTCAGAGGGTAGGTATCGTAAAGGTGTCGCGCTTGGAAGAAGCGGTAGCCATTTAAAATATAGTGGCTGCGAGGCAAAGAAATTGCTCCACCAAGGATACTGCTATCACCAAAATAATGAATGCAACGGGGGGGGTTTTTTTTTGTGGTCATGCGCCCTGAGACGGTCGGTCAAGAGCATTGGGTCCACAGCATATGGCCACTCTTCCCGTCTTCGCGCGAGTCGAAAATGAAGTGACCGTTTGCACATACGTTGCCCAGGTCGTGAAGGAGGGTCTTTTCCTGAGCCGGTTACTTGGTGAGCTAGGCGTCAAGCTCGACGACCTGGTCCTACAAGTATGGTGTGACAAGATGCAGACTATTGGGCTCGTCAACAAAGACATGGCCAAGCTACAGACGAAGCTACGGCATGTTGACACTCACAACCACTGGCTTCGTGAAGTCATCTTCTTCCAGATCCCTTCCAGATCTCCTGGCCCTCACGAGCCTAAGTTTCCTCATCAGGAAATTCGTGGCTGTGTCCGAGTGCCTCAGGCCATCACGTCTCTGCGCCACGCTCCGGCTCCGGCAGACCCTCAGGGACGTCGTTGTCCTTGGTGCGAATGCTTCGCATGACAAAGTCGTACGTGGGGTCGTGGTATGCCGTCGTAACCGTGTGCTACAGGCGGACGATGACGTTAGCGGCTGGCCAACAGCGGTCCCCACCTACCGACCACCTACCTTAACCTACGGAGGAGTGATAAGACCACGGGCTAGATTTGGATTTGGAAGATATCGATGCGGACCAGCGAATTCGAGACGGCTGCAAGACCCTTGGCCCACGAGGATTCCTCATTTTCCTGAATTGCCATTACTGCAAAAGCGCAGCAAGTGCGATAAAGGCGTGTCGGATGAGTAGCGTAATGGAAGCGAACGAACGTGCGGTCGGGATTGAATGCGGCTGGCCGATGTTTATGTCTGGTGATTTATCGCCCGGGTAAAAGTTGGCGTCCCCGCTGGCGCACGCCCTGTTGAAAGCTGTCCGGACCAGCTCGGGCAGGTTCTTGGGAGCCAGGAGTGGCACGGCGCTGGGATGCATCTGAAGCTGAGCGGGTTGGCCATCAAAAAATTTGGCCAAGTTTGGAGGTGGGGGGTCCGGGCGCCAAGCGTAGTTGAGCCTTTACATTTGTTTTTTACCAGGCAAACAAGGGATTCGGCTGGGCTAGTGGCTTGGGAGGGATTTCAATGTACTTTTTAGCTAACTAGCTTACAGCATCCTTGCCAGTCAAGATGTGCCGGCGTAGCGACTGACTGCAACTGCGCGAAAAGGCGACTAGTTTGCCAGCACGCAGCATGTCCCTCCAGTCAACCTGCGCCGAGTCATGATGCAAACCGCGCCGAATCCACCCCTGCGCCATGCCAAAATGGCAGCCATTTTGCCAGGAGGTCGAGCTTGACCCGCGTGCAACAGTCGGGACGTTTATTTTTCTCATTCTTTCTAGTCCAGAGGCGCTGGTGGCTTGGAGCAAAATTAAGGAGCATCATCAAGGCCAAGGGGCGCGCGACTCGGGGTCCAGGGACTGGAATCGAAGCAGCCCGAAGCAGCCCGAAGCAGCAGAGACAGACGGTAGCACACACGCTCACTGTCTTTCGAGTACCGACTTTTCTGGCCTCCCAACTTCTAACCGACGCCGTCACTGGCATCCTCTAACCGGTTCCTCAGTGCGATACCCCCGAGAATATCTTGGTCGTGTGTCTCTCGCTTGCAAACCCCTCAAGCCATTGTCCGGCGCCCTCGAGCTGGCCCGCGTGAACAAGATGGTGTGTTCCCCCCTCGCGTTGACTTGATCCATCAGGCTAACCAGCTCCACCCGCCGTTCAGGACTCGACCGTGCCGTGGATCATTGCCTCTATCAGCTTCCCCATCATGCTGCCGAAGCAGTTCATCAACGTCGTACAGCTCATCAAGGCGAGCAGGTGGCTGGCAGAGGGCGACATCAAGACGCGGAGGGAGCGGGGGCTCACGCGGAGGGAGCAGGGGCTCACGCGGAGGGAGCAGGGGCTCACGCAGAGGGAGCAGGGGCTCACGAAGGGAACAGGGGCTCACGCGGCGCAAGGAGTTCGCCTAAGGACTGGGGCCTGCTTTGCGCGCACTTTGTCCTTTCTACCGGGAGAGGGAAAGCATGCAAAAGTGCAGACAATGCGCGAGTGTTGGCTCCTCTCTCAGGGGCCAGGTCCATATCCAGGGTATTGGCCCGCCCCTGGACGTCCCTGTTCATAATCGTGAGTAAAAGGACAGGATCATGTCTTGGTATGTATATATATGTGTGTGTGTGTATGTTCCAGGAAATCCCGACGCTTCTCGGCTGCAGTGTCCAGTCGGGCGGCAAGCCTGGCTCGCTCCGCTCTGCAGCCTGCTTGTAATCGGTGCCTTTCCGTCTATTTTCTCTGACATAGCCCCCTCCTGTTTACAGCTCTCACTCTGGCCCGGTGTCGACAGTCGGGCTTTTAATTGTCCGCCCAGCGCAGCCTGTTGTCGACAGGAACCTCACCACGCCAACGACGTCGATACGACACATTCAACCTCTTGCCGTCGAGAATAGTTCACTCGACCCCTCCTTCTACGGCGATATATCAGTCTTCGGCTCCGGCAAAGTGCAGCCTTTTCACGCGAAGCTTCATCTCGGACGACAACAAGAGCAGATGCCACAAGCCATGTGAAGGAGAAAGATCCGGTCGACCCGATAGGATCTTCGATCAAGTCGTCAACCCCCTCAGCCCCCTGTTCCAGCGTGTCAGCAAGATCCTGGAAGGGCTTACCTCTAGGCGCCAACTGCTTGTCTACCGGCCTTCCAAGTTGCGAACTGGGCTGGAGGTCCGGATCCAAAGAATGCAACTGATGTCAACAGCAAACAACTGTTATACTCGCCACAGCTGGGCCTCGAGGTGGACCCAAATCAGGATGCCGTTGATTTGCACACCAAAATCGAGTTTGCCGTAGTCGTGGCGCTGTCGCAAGGGTCGTATACAGGCCACCGCGGCTGGCGACGACGGCAACGTCGGACCGGGTGCCGCCCAGCTCCGCAGCCACCACGATCTTGTCCTTGATCTCGGCCTCGGGGCGCGCATCATGAGCCAGTACCGCAGCGACGGGCTCGCTAATGAGCTGCAGAACCTCGAGATCTGCGGCGTTGGCAGCAGCAACCAAGGCGGCCTTTTGCTTGTCTGTGAAGTTGGTCGGGACGGTGACGACGGCAGAGATGACCTTATTGCCGAGATGCTCGGAGGCGGCGGCGGTCACAAGGCGGCGAATATAGCCGGTAGAGACCTCCGAGACGGGCAGCGTTGATGGCTTGCCATCTTCTCTAGCCTTGTCCTCAACAGTAGACGCAACGGTCCCGTCGACATCTTGAGGGTGGACAGAGGCGTGGTTGTGGGTAGTGTCTATCGAGCTCGCCTGTGTTTCGGTTGTTAAATGGATCAACAAACACTCTTTGTACTCCTATTTGACCGAAGAGAGTTGTTTGGAATAATAATCCGAAGCATTCCGAGGACTAAGATGCCTCACCTTCAAAGAGCTCAATGACGGCCCTGGCCGCAATCGTCATGCTGTGGGCGTTCTGGCGGTCGGCGGTGTCCAGCGCTGCGGCGCCGTATTTCACCTCGCAAGTGAGGAAGGGGAAGTACATGAGGTACGTGGCCATGAGGAAGGATAGGTCGCCGGAAATCCAGTCGCCGGAAATCCAGTCGCCAATAAATGGCGAGAGCTTGCTAAGTCGATCCTCTGTAAAGGCCTCACGCCTGAATCCCACCGAGTAGTCGGGCTGTGGACGTGTTCCGGTCAGGGGAATGGAGTTGTTCCAGCCTTTATTGACGCTCTCAATCAAGCAGTTGAGTTTCGTGGCGCCGTTGTGGCGAGAATTTCCGCGGAGGGAACGATCAGCGGTGTAATATCCCGGATAATATCCCGGATGACTATGGCCTCATTCTTGTCTTCCATCACTCGGCAGGTCGACTCGAAGATATCGTCGCGGAAAAGGGAATCCCGAGGAATAGTCTGCTTCTTTCCCAGGAGAGTATGGCAAAGTTTTTTGCTCGTATTCGTGACGCCCAGGTCGGACTTGTCCATGAAACTACCCTTGGTTGCGAGAAGGGTCTTGTAGCGTGGGTCTCAATATGGTGCGCCCTTCTCCTCTCCCGGTTTCTGGTCGCTAGGCGTTGTAGAACTAGGCGCCGCCGAGCCGGCCTCCGACCGCTTCCTTCCGAGCCGTGATGAAGAGCAGGACTGCTCGGGGAGTTTTATGAATGTAGAGGCATGGCTAACTCAAGCCCCTTTAGGGGAGGACAGACAAGATTCCCAAAACTGGGCAGAATTTGGTCCTCGGACGGGTGTTCTTCTCATAATCACCAAGCTCAAGCTAACGAATAGAAAACTTCGATTCGTCTTGGACAACAACCTGTTAGATGGGCTGTTAGCCTCGCACCCATCCTGGTTCTCATTCTTCCCTCGCAGGCCACGTATGCCCATACAACTCGCGGTGGCGTGTGCAGCGAGGACACTCGGGCTTGCCCGGCCGAACGAAGGGCTTGCGACATACATCGCATGACAGCGCTGCCGCCTCGTAGTCGCCTGGCTGGCGCCCATCCCTGGCCCATCCGTTAACCCCCTGCTTTTCGCACGTTGCGCAAAGGCATTCAGAATTGCCCTTGCTAAAGTAGTCTGGCCCATACTAGACTGTGATCTCCTCGCTAGCCTCGATATCTGCCGTCGTAGTGACCTGAATTCCTCCTCCTTCGGGCACCAGCACCGCGTTGGCGTCGCAATCATGGTTTACGAACCGCGCAGGCCCGAGGAACACGCAATTACGGTTCCTGCGGCTGCTGAAAACGATGCTGAAGTCCTTCCCGTGGCTCGTCAGGAAGCCCTCTTCCTCGCGTGATATGTCCACCCGAGAGCCATTAAGGTACGCGACGGCACTACCACGCAGCATGCGGCACCGTGCAGTGATGCTGGCGTCTTCGCGGCCGAGATCATAGCGATTGGTGCTGTTAACTTCGAAAGGACAGTCAGCGAGATACATGTCCAGATAGCGGCGTAGATGATCCCTGAAATTCTTTTGTGTGAGAGCTTCGAGCTTCTGATAGGATTTCTGGATCCCATCTACCGACATCAGTCCTGTCTCGGCAGTGGACACGTCGGACTCGGCGATGATGCATGTCTAGATGACCTCTGTAATTTCGGCTGCTTCAAGCCCCCCCGGTGGGTCGTAAGGGAGGTTCTTGCGGATTCTGGTCCAGAAGCCGACGCGATCGATGAGTGCATCAGTAAGTATATCGTCGAGCGTAGCAAATTGTGTTGCCGTTAACTTTGGAATTCTCCACGATTTGCCGGTGATATATTGGGGCTTGGGATATTCGGCCTCGTTGCAGTTGGTGTTTGGGAGCTGGCGTTTGGAAGAGCCGGCCTCGTCGTTGCTGTTCATACATGTTGCACCGAGTCCCGCTGGCCTCGACGGATCCGCCCTCTTGATCCCACCTTGGCTCGCTGGCGTTTCGTCATCGTCTGGGATGTCGATAACTGTCGCTGTCTGGACCTCTTTCAAGACCATGTCGCGCCGTTTTTGTTTGTCCATGTTGGTTGAAGGTCTAGTTAATTTGTTACATGTATAGAAGAAGAGAAGTGCGTGAAAAAGGTGGGAGGGAAGCTCCCTATATGTACACAACAATTCGCACACATCTAGTGATTCCATACGCTTCCAAAATCAAGTCCCAAAGGCTAAGTGGCCTGATTTTCTTCAGTTATTGGAAAAAGTATGTTTCTGGTTTTTTCTACGGCCGAGTTACCCGCCTCGCGGTGGAATATATTTTTAAGCTTTTTTTATAACCGAGTTGCCTCGGCCTAGCGGTAATTCTGTAGGCATCCATGGCCGGCCCTCAGGCAGGAGCTGAAGGCAGCCTGCCCAGTCCCTCCTCCAGCCCCCGAGGCCTCTTGCCCGCATTCTCCAACCGTTCAACCACCCTTGTAGTGTCACCAGACGACACCAATAATTATTAAGCTGAGGCCGATGAGGAATAGAGAACGTCTGGATTTCGTCTTTAGCTAATGAGATGTTTGTCGCGCGGTCGGCCTCGACCTCTTTTCTCCACACGACCTTCGATTGCTGGCCGCTTCTCTTCACTACCCACTACTCTCTTCCCTTCCCCGCTAGAATCTTTGCCCTCTTTCCCTCCCAGGCCTGAAACATCGCTGCACTGTCATATTCTTTAGGTATGAAGCTGTTTTTCCAAGCAACCAAATACTCCTCAGCCCCTTCTTCAATAATTTTACCCTCCCATTCGTCAGGCAGTGCGTCTTCCCTCGTCGTCCATTGACAGTCCAGGACGCACTCCTCCATCCGAATTTGCTGACTCGTGACTGTTGAGCCGGGTCACTCTCGACGGATTCCCGTCCTGCATGCTGAACCGTGCCTACCACGTTCGCATGCCGATCTGCTTGCAGCCTTTGCTCGAAGGATACGAGGGGGATGCTCAATCACTCTGGCGTGCCCTGCACCTCGCGCCTTGCGAAGGCGGCGTGGACATCAAGTCCGCAGCGCGTCGGACAAGCTGGAGCCCAGATAGCGTCCGCACCATACGGTCCTCAACAGCTAAAGGACCGGGTCAGCTTTCCCACCAGATATCTCCTCAATGAGCCCCTCTTGAACCCTCCAGCCCGAAGTATTCCTCCCTCTTCCCACCGATTATCAGGTAGCCCATCTTTCCGACGCATTAATCGACCAGTCCTCGATATCGCCAGAATCTGCGCCAGCGCACCGTGCAGCGTACCCAAGCCCATTACCCAGCATCCGATAAGGAGATGGCAAAGACAGCAGTGTTGCCGAAGCTGTGGGGCCGGCCCCCGCCCGGAACGCCGATAGGTGATTAGAAGTTCAGGAGGCCAGGGTATCAGCAAATTTGTTGGACTGTCCTTCTGTTGTGCATCTGTCATCGCAGCTGTGATGGCATCGAAATTGGGGACGAGAGCGATTTCCACGCGTTTCACGACATGCTGAGGCTAGTAGCCAAAGCAACGACTTGAGATGAAATTACCACGTAGAGAGCCGACCGCGTCGAGGACTCAAAACTGCCATATTGCCCCCAACACAACAAGAGAGGGTATATGATGCAATCCACACATGTTAGGGATCTAGCCGCTGCAGTCCTTCTTACCCCCGAGACTTTCCTGCCCTCTACCCGAGTATTAACTAGAATTCTATTGACCTTCTATAGGACCTGGTAGTTTCCACAATGGGCGAACAAGCAAACGCCAGACTTGGCGGTAGTTACGTGTTGAACATGTTCTTTCATATAAATAGTTTCCATGACGGCTCTGAATGGGTTACTAAAGAGCCTTGTATGATAGACAGGCTGTGTGTGGTACTTCGCTGTGCGTCGCACACAAACCGCGCTGGAGAGGCATGAAAGAGGCGTGCTCGTTCAAACTGTGCAAAGAGTGGAGTGTTCCGGTGTTCTTGAAAATTCCTTTATCCTGACTGGCATCAAGTACCAAACATCCCGAGGTTGCGCAAAGACGACCTAACGTCAAACCGCCCGTGCGATATCGTGTATCACGCCCAGACTACGTGTAGATAACAAGTCGGAGGGCACCTAAAGCAATGCCCATGAGGACAGTGAATCAGCCAAGTCTTAGAATATGGCACCTACATACACATGCCAGGTACAAGTGCGGGATGAAGGACGAGACGCCCGTGAGGGATGGCTAACTAGGACTTTATCCCTAAAACAGAGTTCTATTCTTCTAAAAAAGCCTTGATTGGCAGGTGAAAGCCTTGGAGTGGGTATCGCCTCTTGTTTAGGGGCCTTGGGTATCCTTTTTTCTGGGAGAGGCGGAAGCGGAGGGGTGCGAGAGTGTATTGGCCGCGGTTAGGTGTATTTTGGACAATCCCACACGAGCTCAACGGAAATGTGCTTGGTTGTGGACCACGCGCTTAACTATATTTACCGAAAGCACCATCAGGATTGCCATCCATGGCGGTCACTGGCTTGTGTGCTGGTGCTGGTGCTGGTGCTGGTTCTGGTGCTTGTGCTGGTGCTGGTGCTGGCCAGCTGCCTTGTGTCGGGCCATGCCAGTGCGAAAGACGATATGACAGGTCAAGATGTGCGGCCATCGCGTTTCTGCACCTTGCAGGGGCATTGTTGTACCGGGCGAGTAACTGGATGTTGTCGGGCTGGATTGCATGTTGATCAACTTGTTGGTTGTGCTCGAGATGGGAAAGAGGCCGAGTAAGTTGACGTTGATTCACCGCCGCGTTGGACTAACCCTTAATCAACTTCTTGGTTGCGTTTGAGGCGGGATAGAGACTGGCTAGTTGGTGTCGATTCGCCGGCGCAACCCAGCGCCCTACCGATAGACAACTCCTTCCATGCTATCAGCGGCCCGGATATACATGAAATAGGAAATAGGAGACCGAACCACACCACCGCAATCCATCGGGACATTCTGACGTGAGTGAGGGTCCATTGCCCCTGCAGGCAACCTGGTCTGAGAGAAACTGACGCGTTACGTTCCACAGCGCCCCCTAAATATCGGATCAAACCCCATGACTCCATGAGTCACAGCAATATGCGGTGTTGCAATACCGAGACGGGCTTGTTTCCACAGGACTGCCCTCTCAGCCAGGTTGCTCATCAACTGTCGTCTGGAGGCTTGGGACTGAGTTGCTTCACACGATTAGGCTCCATATACACCGATATCTAGGCCGGTACATACCTCTATTTATAATGAGTTCTTTGGACACTTCTTCTTCCCCGATCTAGCTTGGTATATAGAGCCTCGCAACGGCGGCGTAATGTGGAGTGTTATAGTTTGGTGGGCGGTCGGTCATAAATCGTTCGTTTTCTTACACCCTATGAGTCGCCAACAAGAATCACGTCCAAAGCAGGTTATTAACTGCCTTATCGGGGAACGTCTTCTAGGCCTCGCAGGCTCCTCAGCTCCCGAGGCTGTCTCACCCACCGGGCCAGTTGCTTTGGCGACAGCCACAGCCATGACGGAAACTCCCGGAGGCGCCTGAAAAAAAGCCGTGGTCGTAATTATGAGCTCGAAGATTTGGGGAATGAGCAATCTAGGACCACGAGGCCTCATAGTCGGCCACAGGGTGAAGGCAGAGTGTAGGAGCAAATCAGTCCGTCAGGTAGTCCTAGTAGACAAGGATATGTTTTCGAACCCCATTGCGCTATAGCAGTGTAGACTGAAAGTTCGCTTTCCACGCACATTTCTCTTTTCACTTTCTCCCTTCAATCGAGGCCCCTAGTGAGACCTCACAAGTCTAACACGTATGCAATAGTAGCTTGTTAATTACTCGGTAATACTAAGCTCATCCACCCTTGAACATACCACCGTGCCTATCTGACTCCCCGCATATCAGGTTTCAACTTGGATTACTAGCTTCACGAGCTCGTCTGGGCTTCCTTGTCCTTCGGCTCCTTCTTGCCTGGAGGAGGAGGAGGGGCAGGCCTCGTTGACGTTATATGTGTCTGGGAGCCGTCCTTCTTTGTGTGGGATGATGACCACTTTCCTTGTCCTGCCGACCAGCGAACTGTGCCCTGGCCACCCCCCTCTTGCTTGTATTTCTGCTCTTGCTCGGCGTCCATGATGGAAAAGAGAGGATTTGTGATCGAGGCACTGTGTCGGTGCGAATGTTTGTCTTCGAGAGTTAGCCAGCGTATCACTCTGCCGTCGATGGATGAGGTTGATGAATTGTCGGTAGGAAAATATACCTAGAATGTGGAGGCCTAGCTGGTCAGGATATCGTCACGAAAGTGGGAGCGTGTCAAGATTGTCTGGCTGGCTAATTCAACCATCGGAGGAGCTGGTGGGAGCCTTATATACACGAAGAACAGCAATAGCTGTGACTCAAACCACCCACGCAGGTCTGGTTCTTGGTGAACGGAGTTGTTGGCCTGCTAGTCACAAGCCCGGCAAACAAGCGAACCTGGTTTGTTCACGATGAAAACAAACATGCTCCAATAAAGGATGGATTTCGCGGTTATAGCAAAGCAAAAAAGATCTCAGCCCAAGCTACAGGGTATTTTGTGTTTGTGTTTCTCCTTGATATCTGGCTCCATCCAGCGTCCAAGCCGCATACTAATGATGGGAAAAGCCGACTGCTGAAGCAGAGGCAGTGGTACAGGGTGTTTGGTGTTTCTGTTCCCTCTTGATATCTGGCTCCGTCTAGCGTCTAGGCCGCAAACTCATGATAGGAAAAGCCAAACAACAAAATGACAAATGCCGAATTGCCAGCAGCTAGAGAGATTGGCCCTTAGTGTAGTTCGCGGCGATCCAATTTTTTTTTTCACATGCCCACCACTAGCGAAGACGACGGTTCTCGCCAGATGCATGCCTAGCCAGAAATAACAGATCAGAACTAACACTTCAAAGGCGGCGATTATATGGTTGGACTAACCGAATATGAAGAGAATCATCAATATGATTTGCCACGTAATAAAAAGATCAAACAACAAATTCGTGTCTCCTGCCAACATCTCTTGCTGCATGGATGCGCTGCGCTTCAAGGCGCTCCGGCATCAGACAATGAGGGAGAGGTATTGCGCGTGCAGGCTGGAGCTGGTGGGCGCATTGGCTAGGCGTAGCGAGCCGACCTGAGTATGGTGGATGTGGGAATGTTTGACCCTATATGAGCGAAGCAATATGTTGGCTAGCCGTCATACTTGCAAGACTGGATAAGCCCGAGGAACGACGGACGCAGTCCCTGCTTCCTCAATGCAAGACTCTGGAGTCCACTTAGGTTGAACCTCGCGGCCGTGCAGTAAATCACGGTGTCATTGAGCAGCTCAAGCTCCCCACCCCCAGCACTGGGGACGGAGATGGTGACTCTAGATTGACTGTCTCCCAAAGTCTATGTGTTGCCCGTTAGCAAAGACTTACGGTAGGGATACGGAGGGACACCGAGGGGCTAGTTACTTGCTGCGAGAGTCTCAATTATTGGTGGAAATAGAGAGGACGGCAACGGAAGAGAAAGAGGGAATCGACGAAGAAACAAATCCACCTGGTAGATAATAGACAGGCTGACAGGGGGCGAGTTGGCGAGCTGACGACTTGGGTGTTTTGCCAAGAAAACAGGGAGAAATCCGCCGCCATTGATTGTGTGCGCAAGTCGGCCGCGCAAGTAGCTATCCACTGAGCCGGGCGTATGCGTACAACACGATAACATGCGACCCGCTCCCAGAGCCGGTCGTATGACTGTTCCGTCCTAGCGATAAAATTACGTACAAGGATGGGCCCAATGACTATAAGGCGGCTCGGTAGGCATGGAACCATGTGCCTATGATGAAATGCATCACGAAGAATGCAGGCCCCCTCCAATTCACGAAGAGGATTGGAATGATGAGCCAAGTCAAATCCGTGGATGGAGGCCGGGGGGACGAGGGGCATGCACATATGACCCATCACCCTTGCTCTCTCCCTTCCAGGACGTGTCTTCCCTCCATGCCCTCCCTCAGTATCCTGAGATTGAACCTCGTCGCAATTTGCGGCTCTTCCGACACCCAGGACATGCAACAACTTGTCACTCGGCCACCCGGACGGGTGCTGCACGTACCGAATGTCCTTGACGCGAATGGGTGGCGATGGTACAGCTGTGTGTGGAAAAATTGTCAAGTGGTGACTTCCACCCTGGGAGAGTTAAAGTATGTATAATTCCAGAATACAGACTCCAAAGAAGCAGGAACAAAGACCACCACCCCAAAATCGACATGGCCGTACGCGAGCACATAGATAGGCTCGTTGCAGCCAGTCATGACGTAGGTATTGCCAGAAAGACGTGTAGAAAGCGCCGACAACTGTCTGGGCGGCCGGAAGCGTCGGGCGGGCGGGTCGGAGGCTCGAAAAGGGTCAAGGGGCCGCGCCGCGGGAGAGCCGCTTTCTCGAGGGGAACAGCCGACGGGAGAAGCGCCCGACTTCCTCGCGAGTATTGCCTAGCGCGCGGAAGCTAAGATCTGTCGTTCGCAAGCAGTTGGGGGGATGTTGGCCGGTCGCGCACAAGAAATCCTGCAAGCCGCCAGGCTCCCACGCAAGGATTGGCCGTCGACTGCAGACCAACGAACCGCCTCTTGAGGGAGGACATCAATTCCTAGCAAGAACCTAGCAAGAAGGGCCTCGTATGTCGATGGAAGAGTGTCGCACGCTCGAGAACCGGCTGGAAGCAAGAATATAGGAGAAGGTTCTCCCCATAACGAGACATCTCTTGCAAAGGCACATTGTGTGCAACACACTGGCCGAGAACCCATTGAGCCGCACATGAGCCGCGCCGCCCCGTGGCAGGATCTCGACTTGGACGGGTTTGACCGCGCGCTACCTGCGCCTTGACGACGAACCGGGCGAGTTCTGGAATAAGACGGCACGGATGGAGTTGGCCGTCAAAGGCGCGTTCCAGGCAAGAGACATGGGCCGATTTTTTGATTTTTTTGATTTTTTTTAAAATTATTTTTGACTCTTCCTAACGAGTGAAAAGACAAGAGAGAGGACAGCCGACAAGGCCGCCACGAGCGGCCTCGCCCGGGCCGAAACTTTCCCGCGACTGGGAACCCGCAGCGACCGGGACAGCAATTAGAGGAGGGTATGGAATAGGAGCAGGGCACGACGCTAAGCCCAAGTCGATGCTGAGCCCAAGTCGATGCTCGTCCGTCCTCGAGGATGCTGTTCCTCTGCCGTCTTGGGCGCTGGCCGGGCGCCCCTCGGCTTGTCCTGATCAGCCTCGAATCGACTTCCAGCTGTAGATGGTCTTGGTGGCATCGTGGGCACCGACGTGAGCCGCCTTCCGGCCGCCCTTGTCGTTCGAGAGGGACGGCCGCAGCTGCTGGCGGGGACGCCACCGAGGAGACGTCCTGGCGAGGCCCCAGCCGTGGACGGGAATCTCAACCAGTTGCTCTAGCAGCCGGTGCTAGACGAGGCTGTGAGACAAGGGTGGACGTCCCTCCCGCTTAACGCGCTTGGCGCTCTTTTGGCTCTCGGCTGTAACTTCAGGTCTCCCTCCCGCCTTCTCGCCAATGTGCCGGAAGACTTTGTCTAGGTACCCCACCGCATCGGCCTCCGTGTTGACCAAGCTGCCCGGCCCGACAGGGAGAGAAACTGAGATCGCAGGGGCTTCACTAGTCGCGTCGAGCCTCTGTTTGAGCTGTACGATGTGTAAGGTGGCGGCGGATTTACTAACCTCTCCTGGACGCCGGGCGAAAAGTGCACAATTCGTTTTGCACTTTGACCTCGTCTCTTTTCCCGCCTCGGGATTTTCTCTGCACACGTGTTGTTCCAAGGCCCCTCCAGAGCCCCGGCCCTTGGCGGTTTGACCCAGGGTGACCCGACGCTTGCTTGTTTTTTTCCCGCTTTTTTTCCCGTCTTTTTTCCTCTCCTCCTCAATCACTTGGCCTCGGGTCCCCAACTGTCTACCGCGACGGCGGCCATGGTCCATGGTCGTCGTGAGTCGAGCAGACTAGCGGTCGGTTCCGGGTTCTCGAGGTTCGGGGTGGGGTAGTCGCAACTGTTTAGATGGTAGTGGTGGTCTGCCCGTGGACGCGTCTGGACGTGTTAAGTTCGGGGAGAGTTGGACAAGAAGGAAAGTGAGTCGGTATGAGCGCAGCAGCGAGGCCTAATAAGGCGCGAATTACAGCACCCACGCACGGACCAGCCCCGCAGCTGACTCATGTTCCAATTGGCGGGCTCCAAGCCTGCGCCCACACTTCTGACACCTGCTGAAAGCTTTCCCGGTTCCAGACCCCGCAGCGGACGCCAAAAAAAAGAACGGCCGCAGAAGCTCACAAGTGTGGCAGCGCCGAGCGTGGCCGCGGGCCTGTATACGACATGGCTCCCAGCCCTGTGCCTGCGCCAACATGCAATGCGTCTACTTTATTCCATTCGCCGTCAACAGGCGAAGATTAGGATCACGCAGAGGGTAAGATGCGGCGGAAAGAAAAGCGCAAAGGCGAAAACGAAGGAAGCAAGAGAGTGTGCGACAAGAGTGCGTCTCCTCCGACTGTTAAAACGTCTCCATACTGTAGGTACATAGGCGCCCAAGCGTTACAGCTCACCGCCCATGAAAATACCACATTTTACAGTCAAAATTACCACATTCGCTGGCTTCCCGGCTCCAAGCGCTGGCAACGCAATTGTACCGCAATTGCACCTCGCCGCCGTCGCCAACGTCAACACACTTCCAAATGCGGTAATTGAAGCTCAGGACCGTACATTCGCTCAAATCGTTCAAATCTCCAGTAAAATGCGAAGCTGACTTCGTTGAATTCGCTTACGTAATAGGGCCAAAAATGCAATAAAAGACTACAGGCCTGCTTACACTACTCACAACTGCATGCAACTGACAGCCTTACTGATCCATGCCTTCTAAGGCCCGGGCAGTCGGCTGCGGGACCCTTTCACTTCGTGTAGGCCGTACAATACGACCTTCAGCCACTGCAGAGGCTGCAGGGCCACGTGAAGCTCGTGATGTTGTTGTGCCGCCCCGGCCTCCCCTGCTCCCTGAACCCCGGGTGCCACAGCGAGCCGAGTCAAGGTTGTTGACGGTACGGCGGGGAGGCGGCTGGCTAAGCTCGTCAACGTCGTCGTCGTCAACATCGTCGTCGTCATCGTCAAGGGTGGCGCCCTCCCACTGAGGGATTCCGCCGAATGGAAGGCATAAGCCCGGACTGCCTGCCCGGCTGAGTGGTCGGGACCCGCGGAGCGTTCGGCTCGGCTGCGAACACCGTCGTGTTGCGAGACCTGCCCCGAAGGTGCTCAACCCTGTCAAAGTCAAGGTACCGCAGGTACTCGTCTTCATCAAGTAATGACCTTTCCAGGTACTAATATGGATGGAAATCAACCTTCTGAAGCTTCAGAGTACCTGCCCTGTGACGTTCAAGAAGCTCGTGAGAGCAAGGAATGCCATACTGCACCCGAGTACTGCCAGTGCAAGGCTCAAGGGGTCGCGGGCGGTCTTCCAGTGCCAGCTGCATCTTTTGGTACTGTTGAACAACACGATCGAGGGCTTCATAACATACGTTGTAAGGAGCCTCGCCTAGCCACTGCTTTCCTAGGTAATCGAAGCGAATGCGGTTTTGTTGGTTACGAGTCTCTTCATTACAGGCTTCCTTCATGCCCTCCACCATATTCAAGCTCTGTTGAACCGTCTGATCAATTGAACTAGAACCGCTAATAACGTATGACTTGAAGAGCTTGTTGACTGACTTGACTGGCGATGTGGACTGCTGGCCGAAGTTTTGTACCTTATTGGTGTAGTAAGTCGCCCACTGACTTCGAAGTGGCATATATGTATCCTCAAGATACTTCAGTATAGCCGTTTGGGCGGAAAATACGGCTTTCATCATCTCCCATGCCTGGTTGAAGTCGTCGAGGGTTGTAGAGTACATGATATGCTCCCGGAGGAGATACATTCCTGCCTTTGTATAGGGCACCTCGGTTGGTAGGGCGCCCAGGCGCGGCTGCTGGCCATCCGTACTCTTCTTGTACGGTGAACAACCTAGTTTTCTTCCTCATCTTCATCGTCGTTATCTTCATCGTCGTTATCTTCATCGTCGTCGTCTTTGTTATTCTCCTCTCCCTGTTGCCTGCCTTGTCCCTGTGCCTGTGCCCGAGCCCGGGCAACCTCCTTTATAGCGGCTATATTCCATTTCTTCTTGAACTGAAGGACCACATTCTTGTTGATGTGGAAAATACAGAGTTGAGGGTGAGCGTCAGGGTAAACACGGGCAACTGCATTCCTCATCGCGGTCTCGAAATCGGTAATTGTGACCTTCGGGGGTTGAGCGCCAATTCTTTCACGATGCTCGTTGACCCGGTCCATCACCCAGTTGAAGCCGTCGTCACGTTCGTTATCGATCAAACCGAAGGCACAACTGACTGACTTGCCTAGGTTGTTCTTGACAACTACCTGGAAGAGAGCCAGGCCCTTGTTGTTCGTTTTGTACGTGTTATCGTACAACTGGACCCAAGGGAAGCGTTTCCACTGCTCCTCACACCACTTAGGGGCCCAAAAAAGTCCGCGTGGCTTGTCAGGGTTGTCGGTAGACCAACGAACTTTGTAGTATATGCCGGCATCATCAAGCAACTTCATCGTGGCCTGGAATGGTGTATATCCTTTCAGGGCAAGCTTTCAAAGACGAAAACGGCATTTTCGTAGCTGGCCGCGTGTGAAAATAAGGTCCGGAAAGGCCCTACGCAAGTCTTTAGCAACCTCCCTATTGAGGACAGCTGGGCGGTCGATGTATTCGGCGATGGCTGCTTTATGCTCAGGACCGAAGATGACTTTGGACCTTAGAAGGTTGAAGTCCCAGTCGCTCGGTGGATGATTTGTATGCTCTGTATGCTCGGGATGAAGCTCAAAGGTCTATTTCCTATCGTTAGAAACGAGGGCTTTGGCTACGCCCTGCCAAACGCAGCCTCTGTGATCGGTGGTGGTTTTGTTCACTGTTGCCCTGGATTGTTGGATTCTTCCACGTTGACAGCCAAAATCGACCCTGGTTGCGCCGAAGTCCTTGGCGTAGTTGGAGGCTCGTATTTTGAACGTATTGAAGCTCGTAGAAGCGGTCCATTCGTTCAAATCGTCGATAAGATCATCGAGGCTGTCAGATTTCGTGATCAAAAGCTTATGGCCGGCAGGTGGGTTCGAGAGGGGTGGTGGTACCGGCGGCGCCGGATCGGGCGCATCGCTGAGATCACCAAAGTCGCTAAGATCGCTCAGATCTTCAAGGGCGGCCATTTCTATCGCTAGTTAGTACTACGCGACGAAGTAAACAATGAAGAAATGAAGCCATACCGATGCATCGATTGAATGCAGTGCCAACGATGTTTTTTGGTGGTTATAGAAGGTCGGTTGCAGTGGAAACGTAAGGTTCGGTTGCGTTGTGGTAAAAAATGGTAAATTACTGCGCAGCAGAATGTTGGATGTACTGGCGGGCTGGGTATGTGGCCAGGGTTAGGGTTATGTGTAGTCGATCATAGTATTTGGGGACGTTTTAACAGTCGGAGGAGACGCACTCTTTATCTTACGTCAACTTCCCCCCCGCGACGCTCTGTACGCCTGTGCAGATTGCCTCAGCCTGACTACTGCGCCCCAATTGGACGCTGCACGCAGGCGAAAGCTTCCTACGCCGACGCCCGTATGACAGGTGTGCGGTGAAAGTCTAGAGTTTCCTCCAGGATCATGTTTGCCCCTCCAAGAGTGCCCTCCAGGACGCCCCTTTTTCCCTTTTTTCAGAGCCGACGGTTCCGTGGAGGCCTGCAGCCTAGTGGACTAGCGAAATAGCGTCCTGAGAGACGCAGGAAGCCCAGACCAAATTACACTTTGCCTGGCAAAGGACAGCTAATGACGCAGCTGTGGCTCCGCTTCACGATTGCCTCCTCCTGTTCCTTCGTTTTTGTAACCAATACCGAGTCTTTGACAGTCCCTCTCGAGTTTCGGGCGGAATCGTGCCCTGTCCCTCCGCTGTCACCACCTCCTCATTCCCTCCCATGACCTTCTCAGCGGCGACCTTTTCGGGGACCACTTGGGTGTAGTGACTGATGGGCATGCCTTGAAGAAACGCGGCCTCGGACATGTGCGTCAGTTGCCAGTCATACTTGTTCGCCTGTCGAGACGGGCGGCCTGGAACCGCGAGTCGAGCAGCGCGTCAAGACCCAGCAGCCCGCCACATACGCCCCCCTCCCCCCAAAACAAGGCTTGGCTCAGCCACTGGGGCTGGGGGGGGGGGGGGGGGGGGTTATAGGGTCCTTTGGTCGAATTGCATCTTGCCTCTTTGCATGAGGGCTGTTAGATGCCCGCTAATGGAATTCTGAAATCTGGCTGCCCGTTAATGGAATTCTGATATTTGGCTGCCCGGTGAATCAGGAGTTCGAGGTCGTTCGAAACAGGGTAGGTGTTTGCTTCTTGCTCTTCTCTGTCTTCTTCATCTTGGCCGTCTTCGTCTTTGTCGGGAGGGCCACCTTTTTCTGCTTCGTCTTGTTTGGCTTCTTTGTCTTGGTCTGAGCCTCCTTCAACGTCTCCTCGATGGCTTTTCAGCTTCCACCCATGTTCCGGGAAGACGTCTAATCCTTTCCGTTGCCTTGACTGGGAAGGAGCATCACGGGTGGCTAATGATGGAGCGAAAGCACTGCATTCCAAGCCATACATACAATGCAACCAGGTAACAAGTACGAAATGAATGGCTGACTCCTTCCCGTCCTCCACCTCCACCTCCCGCCGTGGCTAAATCATGGTCGCCCCGCTCATGTATAGCTCATGGCCCGTGACGTCCTGATGGACTGTAACGCCCTGATGGACCGTGACGCCCTGATAGACCGTGACGCCCCGATAGACTGTGACGCTCTGATAGACTGACGAATTCAATGGCGCGCGATGTTGATAGCTTGTTCTTGTCTCTGTGTGCCCACAACAGTCGCAGCCCAGAGTTCAGGCCCAGCGAGACGACGCAGAGCGCGTACTGCACGAAATATTGCGCCTGCAGCGCCGTAGCCACGACGGTTGCCAGTAACAGGGTCAGCTGGACGAGGGTCAGGGAGCCGAGCCTCCGCTTCTGGTCGTGCGTGGGCCGGGACCTGAGCTTCCAGTAGCAGAGCCAGGCGGTGGCGGCGGCGGCGGCGAGGTAGATGAAGGCGCTCGAGGACCACAGCATGGCCTCGTAGAGCCGCCTGCGGCCGAACCAGATCTCGGCGAAGGGCTCGGTCAGGAGCATGACGCCGACGGCGATGTGGCTGGCGTAGAGGAGCCCGCACGCGACGATGATGGAGTAGATGGGGATCTGCAGGACCTTGCGGGCGGTGAGGATGCAGAACATGATCCAGACCTTTCCCTGCCGTGCACGTATTAGCCGACAGGCAGGGAAGCCGAGAGCCGGGGAAGCAGCGAAGCCGCGACTTTGAAGAGAACACGTACTATAGCCAGCTGGACGGAGAGGACCGACACGAGCTCCAAGACGGCCAAGGACAGGTGCGTATAGAGAGGGTGCGGAATGCTTTCCCAGGCCACGAAGAAGACAATCATGCAAGTGCCGAGACAGATCATGACGAAGCCCGAGTAGGCAAGCACGCCTTGGAGGAGCTTGGGTGTGGAAATCTGGTCTTGATCGAGGGGGGGCAACAGCGACACGGCGCGCAGCTCCCTCCACAACAGGAGGAAGACTAGAGATTGGATGATCATGGACAGCACGAAGCCACCCAGGTCCAGGCCAAAGTCGACGTCCTTGATAGAGTCCTCCATGTCTGATGTGTGGGTATCGGTACCTCGGAGATGGCGAGCAGGGAGACGGGGCGCGTGTGCGAGAAGAGGATTGAGGAGCCAAGGCAAAAGGTCCAAGAGCTCCAGGACAGAAGTGCCGGCATGGGATGCGATCGCGACGCAGCTGGAGCAACTGGAGGAGCTGGTGCAGGAGCCGTGTTAGGAGAAGAGTCTGGGCGGCTGGCGACCTGAGGCAGCGACCGGACGGGCTTTGTGTACGCCGTACGAGGCGTGGTTGGCGTTGAGCGCTGGTCGAGATTTGTTCGCCGGTCAAGGTCTGGTCCGAGGCCGGCGTGGAATGCCGGCGTGGAATGCCGGCGTGGAATCGAGCCAGGCCGGGCCGGCAATGATTAGCTCAAGACTAGTTCGGTTATGGTTTCGTCTAACCGCGAGTCCCGGCCGGTCCTTGGGCGGCAATAAGTCTCGGCCGGTCCTTGGGCGGCAATAAGTGTCGGCCAGTCCTTGGTCGGCAATAAGTGTCGACCAGACTTTGATCGGCGGATAAGTCTCTACTACGGATTCCCAACTAGTCTAGATGGTGCCCGTTGAGCTTCTTCGCCAGGCGGGGTGTAGAATGTGATCGAGATGGGCTGCCCCTATCCCTGCCCTGCCTTGCAGCCTGCCCTACGCGACCAAACAAGCTCTTGGCAAACCTTGTTAGCCCGTAGTGGTGGTGAATTCCCAGTCCTATACCAACCCGACTTGCTTGTAGATGCGATGCTTGACGATTCACCCTGAAATGGAGGCCCCTGGCAAGTAAGATTAAGGAGCGTAGTATTAAGATGGTAGGGTAGGTAATGCCGCAGCCTGTGCAAGTGACGAATGCGGCAGCACGAAAGCACTGCCTTGCCGCCTCGTGCAGTAAGTACAAGCAAGTAACAAATAACACGACCACCTCTTGCAACAAGCACGACCACCCCCTACAACAAGCACGACCACCCCCTACAACAAGCACGACCCCCTACAACAAGCACGACCCCCTACAACAAGCACGACCCCCTACAACAAGCACGACCCCCTACAACAAGCACGACCACCTCCCACAACAAGTACGAAAGCACCGCCTTGCCTCTTAGGCACCCGTTTTCGTCTTTCCCTAGTGCTGCGGCAGCTGCTGCGCCTGCTTCTGCGGCTCCTGTTGCTGGCGCGGGCCCCGCCGCACGCGGATCGGCCGGTACGCGCGCGCCAGCCCGAGATCCTGGGCGCGCCGGTGCGCCTTGTACTCTTGCCGCTACGTCTGCTCGAGCTCGCTCGACAGTTCGGGCACTGTCTCTGAGAGTTCCAGCATTAGCGAGGCCGACGACCGAGCCTCGGTCAGCGCGGAGCCAGAGGCAGAGCTAGAGGTAGACCCAGATGTAGAGCCAGAGCTAGAGCCAGAGCCAGAGCTAGACGCAGAAGAGCTTGTCGGGGCATCCTGGGCCTCGGACGACTTGTAAGTAAGGACGTTGCTCTGGTTCTCCATATCTGATCCAAGAGAGGTTGGTCGGCTGATGTTGAGAGGGAGGGAGAGGGAGACTGTACCTTGAAGACGACTGTTGGTGTTCCTCGGAGAGAGGAAGAAAGGGGGAGACTGTTGTTTGAGAAGAAGACTGCTGGTATTCCTTGGGCAGAGGTTGGACTACTAGTTGGACTGTGGGTTAGACTATTCCTTGAGGAGAGAGAGGGAGACTGTATCTTGAACAAGACTGTTGCTTGAGAAAGAAGACTGCTGGGTTCCTTGGGGAAAGGGAGAAGGGGAGAGGGAGGACGGGCTCTTCTTACACATAGTCACAAGCATCACAGGCACTTGGTCAAGACCCAACAACAACAGCCCGAGGCATCACACGCATTAATTACCAGCCAGTCCATCATCAGCTGGGCGCCGGTCGAGACTAGTTCGGTCCTGGAATCGCGAGTCAAGCACTACGTCAAGCACCAACAACCATGATATGATAGCGTCAATTGCCGGCTAGTCTAGTATTAGCTCATGTCCAAGACGGGCTCCTGGAACTACCTACCTTAAGCCTAACCGAACAGCCCGCCACATGCGCCCCTAGGGCGTGGTTACTACTAAACCGCTGTCCGGTGCGATCCTGGAACTGCGAGTCCAGCAACTGGCTGGCATGGCCGTCGACATGGCCATCGACATGGCCATCGACATGGCCGTCGACATGGCCAGCGCCGACGTTGGTTTGCGGCTGCATTGCGCGGCTGCCTTGCCGTGGACTGTCTGGCCCTGGCCAGGTCGAAGATGACGAGCCCCAGCTTCGTGGTGAGGTCTTGTGGTTCGGTAAAGACGCTCGCTCACTCGCGCAGCCTGGTCGAGCCCCGGCCTTGTGGTGAGGCGGATGAGGGGCGTCGGCGGGACTGGTTGCGGCGTCGGCGGACCAAAAACATTGGCCAGAGCAACACACCTGTTTCCCCGCGCCCTGCATTTTTTTCTACCCGTTATTAAACTATTTTTTTTTGCGTATGTATGCCGAAAATTTTTTTACCCGCTACTTTGTTGCTCGGTTAGTCTGAGAAGCCAAAAAGCGTGCAAAACAGTCAAGAATGAGGGTATTCGCACTATGTGTGTTGTGTGTTGATTGATACGCGTAGAAGAAAAGGTCGCGCCTACAGGTCGGGATCCCGTGTTGACCTCGTGGAAAAGGTGGTTTAATTACAGTGGCCTGTGCAGGCCCTGCCCTGCACCATGCCCCATTTAGGTACTCTTTCTGACAGTTCGTTTTTGGTTTTTATTTGCTAGCAAGTCGTTACACAAAACAACGTATCTGTGTTGTTGCATTGCTTTGAAGTTGAGTTCGAGTTTGTGATTTAAACATCTGCTCGGAGCATGTCGATATAATTAAATTCTCGGACTTGGACACGGAAGGCGGGCAGAGGGGAAAGAGGACACGTTAGTTATCGGGAAAAAACCCTTATTTTGGGGGTCCTTTTGCCCAATTCCCAGTAATTTCTAGCGAGCTTCTACCTCGATCCAAAAACCCTAAAAGATTGCAGCGCCAAGAACAAAAATCCACCAAAAACAACAATGGCCACTCAGTTCATTACGTCGGCATTCCCTCAACCGTAGCCACGGCTCAATAGTCACAGCCCTAGATTAAACATCATCCCCTCATGCTCCCCTACCCCACCAACACCCGTCACTCCTCCTCATCGCTAGGACCTTGATGAACAATTAGCAAAGACGTAGATCCCTTGGCGTAATAGGATTTGCATACCTTGCATCTGCAGCTCCGCGTGGGCAGCTACCGTCTCCGCCCAGACCCTCATAACAACACGCGCAATAACCTCGCCGCCGCCCCTATGGACGCGCACGAGCTCGGCGAGGCTCGCCCGAGTGCGCTCGAGGTCTGCGGAACTCTGGTCCCCGCGGGCGAGCGCGGTCGTGTCGCGGCACAAGCTGTCGAAGGCGCCCGACTCGGCGCGTTGCGCGTCTGCAGCCCTCCGCTTCATCATGTCGAGGCTACGGTTCGCCACGTCGCTAGCCTCCCTCTGCGTTGTCCGATACGTTCGGATTATATCTTCCCTCAGGCCGATATATGTTGTTATATTGTTGTAGTTTATAATCACGCTATCAAGTACTGTCATGCATTCTGATAGGAGCCCGGCACCGCCCGTAGTGGGGGTCGCTGCGCTCATGTTGGTGGTAGTGGAGTGATTCCTATAGGACAGGTGTTAGGGTCGCCGCTAACTGAAGCTAGAGATGGAGATTGACTTACGGTAGCTTGAGAGATGGGTAGTGCGAGGAATTCTTCTAGGATAGGTATTAAGGTCGCTGCTAACTAGATCTGGCGATGGAGATTGACTTACGGTGGTTTGAGGGATAGGTGCTACGAGTAATGCCTATAGGATAGGTTTCAGGGTCGCTGCTAATTAGAACTGGAGATGGAGATTGACTTACGGCAACTGTAGCGATGGAAGGGTGGTGCGAGAGTGGCTAAGGGAAAGAAAGTCCTAGAGGAAGTTGGGCCCGGAGGTAGACCGTGATGTGAAGGGTGTAGCGCCTTGCATGTGAAGAGTGTAGCGCCCTGCATGGGCCAGCATGTGGAGAGTGTACCTGCATGTATGTGGAGAGTGCACCTGCATGTGAAGAATGTGGAGAGTGTACCTGCATGTGAAGAGTGTCAGTGTCAATTATGGTAGGTAAGGACAGGGCCAAACTCTATTCTAGACTATGGAGAGGAACGAGACGTGCCGCTCTCGCCCTCGCAGCCGGCTACCTTGAAGCCCGCATTGTAAGGAAAAGGACACCCCAAACACCAACTGCGCGCACAGGGTGCGCGCCCACCACTTGTCACCAACTGGCTAGAACAATGCCAGCTGGCATACGCTATGCCGTAGCGCCACGACCGCAGACTGATGCCCGGGCCGAACCCCTGAGCAGGTATATAAACAATGGCCCTCGCCCATCTTCCTTTGCGAGGGCCAGGTTGAAGTCTTACACCAATACAAGTCATTGCTCCCCTACCTTCTTGCCTGCATTGTGACCACCTTGATCAGGCGTACCTACCTTCTCTTACAATTCTACCTTGAAGCCCGCATCCTCGCAAGCTGTCACATAACTAGGCCCAATTAGGCTACGTGTTTACACGCGACGATCTACGCCTATAAAGGCCTAGCTCCTACACGTTGGAAAGGAGCATTTTTCCGGGAGGAAAGAAAGGGCCTGCATACTTCTTTCTGCAACAGGAGAAAAATGGACCACACCTATTCTTTGACTGCTTTGTGCGCAACACAAGCACACCACCTCCTTTATTACGCACTGCCAAGTCAATCTGATCTCCCGTCATAAGGTGGCTCTTCAATTCGTCCCTCGTTTTTGGTTCGGCGGACTGCAGGGACGGTGTGACGGCCCGCATAGGAAGTCAAAGATTGAATGCAATAACGAATGTGGATTTAAAGCTAAGGAAGGAAAAGAAAGAAGCTATCGCGGTGGTGGTGCGGGGCACGTGGTTGGCGCGCGCATGGACCACACTCTAAATATGATGCAGCCAATAGAATCAATCCCGTCATGTGCCCAGTGCCGTGACAGGGCGAGCCTATTTGAGTTGAGTTGGCTTTATTTGACCTTGTTTGACGGAACTTGCCGCACCACCAAAAAACACGAAAATCTGGCCGAATTTGGCCCCGAATTGACTCCCGGGCCAGAAAAGAGCGCTAAATCCAGCCAACGCCCTCAAAACAAGCCCCGGCTCTTCAGATACATGAGGATATTGACGGTATCGACACCCAAGGAATGTCGTTGCGTGCCAATGACAAGCTTGGCTTGGCTGAAGGCCCTCTCACACTCAGATGACATGGCTGGTGGCTGCGGCGCTCGTTTTGAAGCCTTACGAGAAGTTGGGGAGATGGACACGAATGGTGAGGAAATTACACGAATAGTATCAGATTCGCACATGAAAGCGTGGCGGGTGGCGGAAAAGTCACACAGCTTGTGTTGGAGCCGAGGGTGTGAAGCGATGGCTCGATGCTCGGGAACAAGAAAATGACTTTGGGGCTTTGCTCGTCGATCGAGGTGGACCGGTACACGACCAGCGCGAAACCCAAGTTCACCACAAAAGTGCCAACACGCGTCCGGGAACACCTCGCAATGTTGCCAACGTTGAAGCTGGGAACTCACTCATCTTAACCGGGAGCTCACGATACCCGAGAAAACAGTTAGCGTCTGCTAGTAGTCCTCCACTACTGGGACAACTGTCTACTAGTAGCCGTGCCCATCAACCCAGCTGCTGCAAAGACGCTCTTCGCGACATGTTGCATACAAGATGCATATTCATGATCACAAACGACAAGAGACTGACAGACCATGTTCATACCCCCACGGCTTCTTCCACTCTGTATTTATTGATACCTCAGCTCTGCAGTATTCCATCGAGGGCATTTCGGAGCTATTCACGCTTCTGCATCCAACAGGGCCGCTTGCATACCCACCCTTGGGCCCCTAGAGTCACCTTGCTGCCTGCTTGGTACTATGTGTGACTGCACTTGATGACCCGTGTGCCTTCCTTTGGGGCATTTGACGCTTCCTTGGACGATTCTGCCTTGCAAGTCCGCCGAAATGGGGCAGCCCTCATGCATGCTTCTGCCCGCCAGGGTGGTTGTCGTCATCTTCACATCCGGCACATCATCGACACCTCGTAATCGCGCTCAGGCCGGGGGCCGATTGCATCCTGGGACAGAGGTGGTCTCAAGGTATCTCGACAAGATGACTCAAAAACACCCGGTTCACGATACGGAGCCCAGCGGCGTTCAGCTGGCGATGAATACGAGGCCGAGACGCCGAAACGCTGCGGTGACATCGATTCAGACCCCGACGCGGGCTACTCCCCGTATAAGTATAAGTATTTAAGCACCCACTACGAGGGAGCGAGAAGAAAAAAAAGAAGTGAACTAAACTTGGAGTTAAATCGGTAGTTAACTAGAAATGGAGGAGTAAGGGTTTTTGGTCGACTAGAGGCGAGGGAATAGGGGTTTCTGTTACGGGGCAGCCAGACTAACACAGCTGCGCAAACCTCTGCGACGAGGCGTCTCAATTGCCTTGGCTAGATCGAGGGCTAACTGGAGTCAATATTAGGGACCCCTCCGTCGAGTAAATGGAAGCTAATTAACTTGACGAATAGTTGTTGGAGAGGCTGCGCAAGGCCACGGCGAGTACAGCGGTGTGGTCGACCAACCATCTGTTGGCATGAGTGGAAATGCACAAGACTTGGCGATTCTCACTTGGACGCTGCTGGATGGCTGCGGGTGCAGGCGCAGGCGCAGGCGCGGCTGCAAAAGATCAAGCGGCTGCCACGAAAAGTGGAGCCGAGGGGGCTTCAGTCACTGAGGGGGTTATAGGGTCCGTTTGCCGGGCAGGTTTACAACAAGGGCGACGAGAGAAGAGCCTGCAGGCCCATTCTCGACTCGCTTAGCTATGATTGCAGTACCTAGGGGAGGCCAAGGGCCGCGCCCGCCCGCCCCCCCCCCCCCCCCAGCGATGCATCCCCATACACCTTTGAGGAAACCAAGGGGACGCCTGGAGTTTTCGGGGGGGTAGGGCAGCGCGCTGCCTTACCCCCTCTTTTTTGCTCCTCGAAATTTTTTTTTTGGGGGGGGGGGGGGGGGGGGGTGGTTATCGACGATTCCCGAGTCAGTGTCGTGTCCCCGTCGTCCCCGTCGAAGCCCCGATTCCATCGCTGCGGGGCTTGGTCATGGGATGGCGTGGAAGCAAAAAAACACGCCTGTGGTCAAGCTAGCAACATCTCGCCCCGCCAGCTACGCATATGAGGAGAGGTCTAGGGTGCGAGTTTAAGTCACGACATCTTCTTTTAGGGAGATACAAGGCATGATATGCTTCCCCATCTGGAATCGCGTCTCTTGTCTGCGGATCACGCAGTGAAGCAGTGAAGGGCCCCCAGTTGAGGATGGCGTCGTTTTCTCTGCACATGCAAGTAGCCTGTCCGTGCGCACGGGTTTCGGGCCTATGGCTGCACTATTTTATACACCCAGCTAAGAGCCAACCGCGAGAAAGTCGCATTTCAAGAGGCGGCCACATGGCCACCTGGGTTGCTGTGCGGGAGTCTGAATATGGGTAAGGTGATGTTCTCCTTCGCTTCCACTTCCACTGGAGCGTTGCACAGGTTTAAAAAATGGCTAAGAACAGAATGTGAGAAAGAAGCACGCCGAACTAACTATCTACAACTGGCGAAAGGGAGATTAAATTCAATTTCAACCTCTATTGCTCCACCATCATGAGCGCTTTCCCCAAGTCGCCAATCGTCCAAAACCAAGCTGCCTTGGGCTTTCCGACCTTCCCCTCTACGAACTCCAAGAACCACTTTCAACAATACCATGGCGGTTTTGGCTGTTTCCCACCATCCTCTAGACATGTATTTCACCGATAGGCGACCACCACGCACATGCCCAAATTCCTGCGAGGATGAGTTCCTCAGCCCTCAGTGTCAACCCGACTCTTCCGATGAAGGCACGGAAGAACAGCCCCTCAGCCCCTCAGTATCAACCCGACTCTTCCGATCAAGTCAAGGAAGAACAGCTCCTATTGAGTCCCGATCAGGCCTGATCTCGTGCAATGGCTCGAAGTGGTCGTCGCACAGATGCAAAACGAGGACAGTACCGACGAGGATACGGCATGCAGCGCGCGACGATTTGTTCACCTGGTGAAGGGGCTCGTTGCAAACAGGACTAGAGCTGGCCGCGTAGAAGAGTTGGGCGGTCGAGATGCAGTTGAACGATTCTTGACCTTGGTAAAGGTAGCGGATTTCCCATGTCTACGAGGGACGAGCTAATTAGTCGCAGGAATTCGATAGCGCTGTCGCCACACTTGACGGCTCCGAGAGCTCAGGTCCCCGGTAAGGAGGACAGGATGGGTGTTGGGAGGGGTGTTGTAGGCTAGAGGAGCGGTACTTGCATTGACAAGTCTGAAATCCTCTCGTGTAGTGCTCCCTCCCGACTCCTTGACGAATCACGCAGAAGAGAGCGAAACCGCAATAAAAGAATCCGCCCTCGCCATCTTCGACCTCTCTTCTACTAGATAAGATTGTATTTCGGCCGGCGAGAACTCCTGCTCCGCTATCTATCTCTCTTGCAAATTCACGCGCAAATTTTTCCACTGTTTCGCCGTCTTGTGCCAGTTGCTTCGGATCGGGCATGTCGTCTTCCGCTTTCTAGAAGAACGCGCTGAACGACAGGAAAGTCGATGGCGCCAAAGACCAAGACCCCACCGTGTGACTAATTTTGGAAACGCTTGAGAGTTTCGACAGCGATGGACGCCTGTGTACAACAGCTTGCGTGAGCCGGCCAAGCCTCTCGTAGGCTTCCTTGATTTGAAGTAAACGTATCTGGACCTTTTAAAGTGAACTGGGGAGTTGAGACCAGTCCATAGCGGCCGTGTGAGCTGTCTCGGTGTTTGGGGCTTCTGAATAGATGGCGCATGCAAGAGAGCAGCAGCACCATCCATCGTCGACGGAGAGGAAGTCAAGAGCGTCCATTTTTATCGCTGGAAAGATGGCCCCGAATGAAACTGATAGCCTTGCGGAGAGGCATATGCATAGACAGGAGACCATCACAACAGGGGACCATCACACGTCCCCTCCCACGTCCAGGGCTGTGCGATGCCCGTCACAGACTAATTGGACCGGATCCGGTCACACCACAACCGCTTCCGCATAGCGAGGCAAATGAGGACAACTTCAGTGCGGATGAGGAGTGTGATATTCGCCAATACGACGTCATTGTGTTTATATCACTACCCTAATCAAGCAAGGCTCGATGAAAAAAGAAGGCCTTAGGATTTCGTATCTCTATCTAAGTACTGGTCTCGCGTCCGGCTATTGACTCTCTCCCTTATTTGCAGGTAGTGATGCTCATTGGTGCCCACAGACCCGCCTCGACGGCCATCGCACATGTTTCCGCTTGCGTTTCCCCTCACGACACACCGCGGTCACGGGGTATAGACAATGACAATGCGGACGCCCTAACCTCGCACTGCCTCACCTCCCGTCTCCGAACCGGACTTTCCAGCCCGCGGCGGCTCTTTCTGGACGCCTTCTCCACTCGAAATCAAGAACCACCTCGCCCCCAAGGCCAGGAGCTGAGTGCAATTGGGTGCCTTAGCATGCTCTTGGCACATCTGCTTGTATTCTAAGAGTGTGTCCCGGTCTCACTTCTCCTCGTCCTGTCGCCATATCGGGTCCAAATACCTGGTGTTGGCGGGGTCAAAACTCTGGAGGTGTTTAAAGTCGATGAGGACGATGCTCCTAATAAGAAGCTCGCAAGGAACTCGGTTAGCCAGGCTCTCCGGACCAATCCATACCGACAAGGGAAATGGGCGGGAGCGAAGAAACGGGTTGTGCTCATACCTTTTACCATTCTCATATAGTTGCACTTTGTACTCCAAGTGGCTGCTGTCGCACTCCAGGATGCGAGCCGTCAACTCGTTCCGACCACTCACCAAGACCACGGCACCAACCTGACACATCTCGGGGTGGGCCACTTTTTCGTTGTGCTCCTGCACCTCCCATTCAGCGCAGGCAACCGGGAAGGTGGCAAGATGGAGAAAATGCTGGGTATCTTCGAAGAGAGTGGAATGCGTTGAGGACATATGACTTTGCGCGGCCTGCATATAGTTCGTGCAAAGACGGGACCGGAACCGGAAGACGCCGGGATCACGGCAATATCTGCAGTCCAGGATGAATCGATAATGGTCTATTTGGGAGATGGGGGTGTTGAGCAGAATATTGGCGGGCAGGTGTTCCAATAGCGTCGCAGGGCCCGTTGCTCGCAGTGGCGGACCGCTGAAAGACTCGGGGCTGTCTCTCCACCCTAAGAAGCTGCAGCTATGCGGATAGTCCATTACGTGTTAGTGGGTTCTCGAAAAAACGGAGGAGACAGAAGGTCGGCTCGTGGTGCAACCGTCAAAGCATTGACAGGGAGTGGCGCAGGAGCAGAGCGGGTTGACCTTTGGTGTAGCGCAGCCGACGCTAGTGACAGTGGGTGACTGAAGCCAAAAACCTGGGAAACCGCCTCTCGTGCAGATGCCAGTCTTTATGGTTCGTCCGTCCCAGGGCGCTCGAGGTCTTCAAGAGGTGGGACTAGGGACTGCTATCTGGCCAGTCAATATCGTGCATGACGGCGCTACTGCAACGGTCCGAGCAAGGGAGATGTGTCACAAACAACACTGCATTAATTGAGGGCAAAAAAGTGCTTGTATTCGGAAGGAAAAGAAAGGTGGGCATAGCCTAGATACAGTAGTTATGCGGCATTCGGCTGACACAGCCTAGGCTGTAATTGGTCTGGTCTAGCATGTGCGCCACCGGCGCCCACATGTGGCTCAGATGCGGCTCCTTCCCACAAGATGTGGTGAGCCGCCGGTGTTGAGCCAGTCAGGAGCCGGCCTCCAAATTGTTCAGCTGACCGGAGCCACCAAAGGCGAGATTGCGAGCGGGAGACGGCGTAGAGAGGCTGTCTCTTCTACTTTACCGTGAAGGTGCCGAAAGTCTCTCGTCCGTGCATTGGCTAGTTTTTGAAATGGATTCGAAGGACCGCCTTGGGGGATTCCTGATTGGGATTGGATTGGGAGTGGGATAGCCTTGTAAGCTGCAGGAGCGCACCACAGGCACTGAGGGTCCTAGGGGGCCTGTACCCTGGAAATCCAATAATTAGACCATGAACATCGAAATATGGAATTATCAAAATAAGCTACTTGACCAGTCAGGAAGGGGTCAGCTGAACGGATGCCTCCAGCGGCGCCTGTCGCGGGCTGCCCTCGCTTCGCTCGAGGGAATGGGTGGCTGGGCAATTTTACTAAGAAATTATTAAGGACAACCCCGCTTTGTGCCGTAACTCGTAGCCGAAGGTTGACTCAACTGTGTCAACTGTACTAAAATTAAAAAACACAAGAAAGTCATTACAACGTAAACAGCATGATGTTGAGGCAGAAAAAGTCGATTCTGCTATCTAGGCTACACCTGGAACCAACACCTCGCCGGCGTTAACACGGCGCTGGTAGTCCGCCGCACGCAAGGCACTTATAACGGAGAGCTGACGGAGAGAGCAGGCCGCATTACCGCTCTGGAAGTCCCGCAAGGACTGGAAGATCGGCACCACATTTCTCGGAATAGCCTCATCGTTAGGGAAGCAAGCCGGGCCGTCATACTTGTCCATCTTGACAAGCAGAACCAAGGGAGCCTCGCAGCAATAGCCCCTCAACACCAAAACAAATTCTCGTAATAATTTAATATTTCGATGTTCATAGTCTAATTGTTGGATTTCTAGGGGGCAAGCCCCTAGGCCCCCTAGTGCCTGCGACGCTCTTGGCCTGCGGCGCTTTCCTTCATACAGCTTACGCGTTATATCTACTAATTGGGAATTTGCTCCTTCCTGACATACACACCCACGATACAGCATAGCGACATTTCACGGCTTAACCTGTCCGAGGTTCATCCGATCGACCAGTCCCTCGAGTCCATCTCGACACGGACGAAAACTGGCCAATCGCTGTGCGAGAAACTTTCGGCACCCTCACGGTAATCTAGAATACAGCCTCTCTACGCCACCTCCGGCTCGCAAGCTCGCCTACGGTGGCTCCGTTCAGCTGAACGGGAATTTATTTTGGTGTTAGAATGGCTGTCAATCCGTTGTGGGTGGTCCGTGCGTCACTTCAACTTTCTAGCTCCCCCCCCCCCAAAATAAACCTCTTTCTGTGACATACAACGCTGCATTAATTGAGGGCAAAAAGGTGCTTATATTCGGAAGGTCCAGAAAGGTGGGCATAACCTGAATACCATAGTTATGCGGCATTCGGCTGATACAGTCTAGGCGGTAAACGGTCTAGCATGTGCGCCACCTGCGCCTATATGTGGCTTAGATGCGGCTCCTTCCGACACTTTCTTCCTCAATCTCGCAATTCAACTTCAGTCAATCGCACGCACGATTTGTCGTTTTCCAGCTATGAACAGGCACGCCTAATACTTGACGATTATTACCCTGTTAATCTCTACTAATATATCGCCAGGAACGCGTGTTTTTCGAGCCGCCGCGATGGCTACGGTCGGGTTCCCTCAACCGCAGCCCCCACCACCCGATGCGCCAAATCCAGGCGCCGTGGCCAGCCTCCCGACCGCCCGATCCTCCCCACACCTAAGGAGACCCCGAGCGACTAGATTACTCCCGAATACAAGAGATGCCGTGGTTATAACTTGGCCAAACATAACTAGCACCCCTCGACCAGCCACCCATTCCCTCGAGCGAAGCGAGGACAGCTCGCCTGCGGCGCCGCCGGAGGCAAAAACAAGACAAAAAGAGGCTCCGTTCAGTTGACCCCTTCCTGACCAGTCAGGTACCCGCTCCACCTTGGTAGGGTGTGGTCCGTGGGCTCTTTCGTACGCAGAGGCGCAATCGCAGTCCCCTGCCTTCTTCTGCCCCTTCCCTCGCGGCAATGTGTCATGGCGTCCTTACCACGCATCTTCGCCGACTTTGTTGAACCAAGCCCCAATGACAGCTCATACTCTGTCCGATGCTCCCCGACGAGCGGGCACGTCTGCCGGTCCCACAATGCGTGGGTGCCTGAGGCCCAACGCTGACTTTGTCGTCGGACTTTGTTGAGGTGACTCGGGCTCGGAGCTCGCTTGGGCTATGTAAAATACCTACTAAATCTTGGTAGGCTGAACGGGTGTCGTTACGTCCCATCCAAGAAGGGCATACACAGTGGCGCCCCCAAAATGGACAGGGTCGGGGAGCGAGTACGAGCCGCGTCCGCCCAAGGCAACCGTGTGTGCTATTAAGTGCAGCTTCTGTGCAGCGTTTCCAGCCAGGGATTCGCACCTCACCACAGCTCTGGCGGCCAACCGTGATAAATTACCGACTGATAGCGCGGGGCCTGCTCCCTCCTTTTTTACGCGTAAGCTGCAGCTGTTCGCCCGTCCACATACACACGCGGGCGTGAGCCTCTGGATACAAATGGACGTACCCTCCTGATACTCCTCTTCCTGGAGTGCTTCGACCCTTCGAAAGACGCCGACTTCCTCAAAAGCCTCAAAGGGGATCGATAATCCGACCAGTACCACGCCGGCCCCGTGGCTCGCTACCACGCTGGTCCACCTCGTCAAGAACTGCAAGGAAACCCCAACGAAGATTCTGATGCCTGTCAACCCGGAGCTAACACCTGAGGCCGTGGCGGCGTTCATGGCCGCTGCCAAGGCCAATGCTGCCGGGCTTTTCGACGCTCAGAGCGGGGCTAGGCACAAGCCCCTGGACATCTGTTTCTGCCCCGTTAACGAGGACCGGGGGGGGGGGGGTGATGGGGCCACTCGATCGAAGGTAAGCTAGCCCGAGGACCAGTCTATCGCTTTCCTCGAGTAGCTTATCGCGCTTCTGCACACACTTGTCGAATTTCCCCGTGTTAATTTCGTAACTGCGGATTTCCTGGCGAAGCTCGTCGATTAGCTTGGTTTTGTGAGCGGTCAAGAGAAGATTAATTTCGTATTCGACGGCAGGGGCATGGGCAAAGGCAGGTGCGGTTGAGTCTGTGACCAGCGGCGATTGATGATGGGCTGCTTCCTCAAATTGGCTTCTCGCATCCTGATCAGCCACGACTGATGTCGCGCAAGAGCATCGGCTGGTTCTGTGCAAAGTTGGCTGTCATAAGTCTCGGAGCGGTGTTGATGGCTGCGCCCTGACCTTCATGTCAAGCTATTGCTAGGTACACATGTTGTTGGGTAGCCTTGTGCCAACTGGCGCTTCCATTTTGCTTCCCCAGGGCTGGGAGGTGCTGCATCGAGCGTGTCTTGGACGATTCCATTCTGTCTTGCTTTTGCGCTCGGCTTTCGTATATATACGTCGCTGCGTGCAACAAGCAATACATTTCTAGCGCGGCGGTTAAGGACCTCGTAGCCAGCCGCATTAGCCCCAAAGATATTGAGGATGCTTCCCTGAAGACGGCCATCTGCGGCAGCATAGCCGTCACTTCCCCTCACTGAAGTAGTTGCCGAAGGTGCGCCCAATACCCCGCCTGTATTAGCTCCAAGGCTGCATACAAGCGGACATTCTGCCCTTCCTACCCGTGCGTCGCAACCAGTCTCTAGCAACAATTCATTTCCAAGGACAGGCATTCCGAGTTGACCTGGTCGGAAAGAGACGGTGTTCGGAGCCTGGAGGACGGCGTCGTCGATTTGTAGGCTTTTAATTTGTGCACTATTCGCTTAGCCCTCCGAGCTACCATACTCACCAATGGATCGACAACGCTCGCGCTGGTAAGCGCAACAAATACAAGCCGAGCGTCGAGCCCAGTCCCATAAAGAGTCGGCCAGTCTGCTCCGTACCCACCCCAGAACAGCCATCTGCCCTCTACGCTCTCCGACCTTACACGCGCGTGTTAAAAGGGACCGCAACCGCGTTTCTAGACCGCACCTGCATATTCGAGTGACAGGCCAAGTTTGGAGAGCAGTTGTTGCTGCCCATGCACATGCACGAGCCAATGAATTCTCTCAAAGAGCCCCCGCACCACTCCCCCCGCACCACTCCCCCCGCACCACTCCCCCCGCACCACTCTACCACTGCAGCCGGCGACTTTCAACTGTGCTGAGTCGCTAGCTGATTGCACCATGTTTCCAGGTCATCGTGATGTTCCTCGGGTCCGAGCGCTCCGTGGACCAGAAGACTGCCAACCAGTACCAGACCATCTTCCCACTCAAGAAAATGTGCCAGTTCCGGGGAGCTATGGGGACTGCTTGCCGATATCTCAAGGGAGAGGGCGTTCGCGGCATGGATCCTTGTATCGGTTCTATGCCTGGCCCTTGGCGGCTACGCAGCTTTTGACTTCGGCCCGCAGCACCACGCGGTAGTGGTTCTAGCGCTGGTCATGTTCGTCGTGGCCTACAGGTTCGCCTACACGAAATGGCAGCTTCATCGATAGGAGAGGTCGGCCCGGGAAATGGATCGGATACGGGGACCACCATAACCAATGGTACCGCCGCAAAGCGCAACTGGAAAACGCGAGTGATGCGGTATACGAGTATGAGGTGAAAAACCCAGTGCGAGAAACGGAAACGACACGCGCAGGCTCAAAAAGAGTCACCCCGCCGACGAAGGTCAAAAGTACACGCACAACAAACATGGGAGTTTTTCTTCCCTCACGCAACAGCAAAAACCATTACTGCATGCCAACTTTTGCACAACCAGCAGATCAATCGATCAACAAGTCAGAACCCAGTACACCGCTACGAGAGAAGCAATAACCATGGCCAAATCTGCAACAATGCGCGCAAAAGATGCGCTCGAGTAATGCGGCAAATACAGGCGCGAGGATTTGAGTGAGCGCTGGTGTGGCCTCGTGGTCGCGGCCTTGAAGCGAAATGATGCAAAGACAAACCGACCCGGCTCTCACGAAGCCTGGCGCATCAGTAAACAGCGTCTCGACGAGCTTGTCAAAACCGTTCAAGCCTACCCAACTACACGGCAGCAGCCGACGCCGCAGCCGACACTGCTTGGCCGCAGATTGGGCACGTCAAAGCAGTCTACGTCCTGTGCAAAAGAAAGCCGCGCGACACATACATGGAGGCACTTGAGGGTGCGAAGCTCAAGGGAATGGTCAAAGGCGATGGGTGCGAAGCTCAAGGACATGATCAAAGGCGATGGGTGTGAAGCTCAAGGACATGATCAAAGGCGATGGTCATGGCGCGTATGATAAATGGTGGATTGGTTGCATTCCTAAGAACGATGCATTTTCCAAGCTCGCGCATACACTTAACCATCGCCAGCAGACTCGAACTTCGATGCACTGTTCTATACCCCGAAGAGGGGAAAGGTAGCGTTCGGACTTGGCTCATCTGATTCCGACATCGAGATCGTCAAACCACCCACGAAGAAGAAGAAGGTGGTCGAGGACCAGTTGGATGACAAGGGCGAAGGGGAAAGCAGGGGGCAGTATTTGACCTTTGGAGCCAGTGTCGGACGCCCCAAGCCTGGGAATAAGGGGCAGAAGCCATCCCTTCCCCAAGTTCCCGAGGAAAAGAATTCTCTGGAATGACGACTCCAAGATTGCGACGTTGACACCCAGAATCTTCAGCATGTCCTGTCTTGCCAGTATGTGGGCTGTGGTGCCCTGTGGCGCCCCGCCGCCGCACAGGTTTCCTCCTGACGGTGGTGCAAGGATGTCGAAATCTACATTAGCTTCAGACATGGTGCATTCACACGGCGGCCCGAAAGAGAAAAAGGGACGTCTCGTGACTTACTTCAACACTGTTTGCCGCCGACTTCCCGATGAGTACGTGCCTCAGCCCCGGCCATCCCATTGTCTCCTCATTTCTCGACGGCGAGCTAAATTACGCTTCTCGGTCGGCAGCTAGACGGAAAAACCAACACGCACCTGGGTGCATCACCACCAATCACAGCTTCCACGCGCCAGAGACAAGTATGGGGGTCGTGCGTCCCTAGATCGGAAGCGTAGACGTCCCTACACCACACAGAGCGGTATGCCAAACCTGAGGAGGGATCAGATGACGCGGACGGGGAGAAAGAGGAGCATGTCAGGATGCCCATGGGGCGTCTGCTCTCGATGGCGGCCCTCAGCCTTGGCGAAACTGAGCTCCCGGTCACCATAACGAAACAAAGATAATAAAGAAAGAAATAAAAACTCTACCGGCGCAAAAACCAGCAAAGGGCTTCCCTCGGTGCAGAATTTTCTACACTCGCCTCCCGATGTGCTCCAGCTCGTTATCGTAATTCGCCAGGCGGGTTCAGTAAGTGCCCCGACAAAGAATCAAGTCAGCCCCAGGAGCCGAGAGTTGCGTTTGAAGCGAAATGCCCCGCCAGGTACGTGACACCGAGCTCGGCTAAAGGCAATGGATGAAAAGAGCACGAATATGGCAGGGGATTCACTGAGTATTAAACTTGCTCCTTTTCCCTTCCTCCCTCCGACTTTCTCCCTTCTGCCTTCGATTTCCTCCACTTGTTGGTTCAAGATGGAAGGACCAGCACCTACGCATTAAGATGCAGGGGGAATCCGGGGACATGAGCGTGATGCTCCTTTCGCCATTTCGTTCCGAGTCGGTGATGATGACATGTAGAGGCTGGCGCATATCAAGGGCGTAACTGTTTCGTCTTGGCGACACTCGCTCGGCCCTCCTCGCGCCGTGTCGCTCGTGACCCGAGGCAGACGGAGCAATCCCAGAAGCGGACAGCCTCGGCCACCGTGGCGACACGATGGGCCAGGTGCAGGTGCAGATGGATTCAAACATGCTCGGGTGTTGGGATCTCCCTTATTATCCCAGGTCGTGCACGAACTGTACTCTGAATAGGATGCGACCAATCAGGGCGTATCGATCCGCGCACGAACTACACTCTAAATAGGATGCGACTAATTAAGTGTGTCCTATCCCTGTCCCTGTTCCTGTCCCTGCCCCTGTCCGGCAGTGAAATGCGGGGTGTGGGGAAATAGGCAAGATAGGCGGCCCCCAATAGCCCGTCGCATGCGCTCCCCCCCCCCCCCCCAAAAAAAACTGGGGGCGGCAGGGTTATACGGGAGCGACGAGAGAAGGGCCCAACAGTCGGTATCGCTCCACGTTCCGGGATGGCGAGTGCATCACGCCGGACAAGCATCTCATGTTGAGCTTGCATGATAAGAAGGAAAATCATGCCGTGCATGTGACTGACTAAAAGAATGACATGCAAGTACCGCGCACGAAAGCATGCCTTGCCAAAACACGACAGCACCGCCCTGCCACCTCATGTCCCTGCCTCGTCCTCCCCAGCCTTGGCTGGCTAAACGAGTGACATGCAAGTACCGAGCACGAAAGCACTACCTTGCAAAAACACGACAGCACCGCTTTGCCGCCTCCTTTCCCTGCCTCATCGTCCTCACGAGCCCTTGACTGGCTAAACGAGTGACATGCAAGCACCGAGCACGAAAGTACACACACGACAACACCGACTTGCCGCCTCCTGTCCCTGCCTCGTCGCCCTCCCGAGCCCGCGGCCGGCTATCGAGTTGACCGGGGCGAGAGCGACACGTCTACCCACATTGGCTGGCGCCAACGCCGAGGCTTGTCATAGCACACCTCGGCAAAGAAGACTCGCTGGCCGGTCGGATCCGACCAGGGCGAGATGGACTTGTCCTCGGCGTGGCGCGCGCGCCGGGGCTGGTCCCAGCGGACGTCCTTGAAGTACACGGCCATGGTCGACCGCGGCGACAGCGGGCCGCGCCGCTCGTTCCAGCTGCGCCGGCGCGGCGGCTGGTTCCAGCGCACCTCGCGGAACGGCATCGTCCGGGGCGAGCAGGGCGGCTCGTCGCCGTTGCTGTACTTGATGGCGAACCAGCGGATCTCGTTCCAGCGCACCTCCCTGAAGCGCACCGGCTCGCGCGGCGCGGCCAAGGCGAGCGACCTGGCCGTGGCCGCGGCCACGGCGATGTCGACCAGCACCTCCCGGGCCGACCGGCGGACGCGCGCGACCTTGGGCTTGCGCTTCCTCTGGCCGCCGCCGTCGTCTGGCGCGGCGCACTTGCGAGCGCTGAGGTCGCCTTGTGTGGCGGGCGGCGGGCGCGTGGCAAGCGGCGGGCCTGGTGGCCGTAGAGGAGGCACCGAGCGCGGGAAGTCTGCCGGCAGCTCTGGGGCTGGCGGGCCGACGCGCGCGACCTTGTGCTTGCCCTCCCTCTCGCCGCCGTCGTCTGGCGCGGGGCGCTTGCGGGCACCGAGGTCGCTTCGTGTGGCGGGCGGCGGGCGTGATGGCCGCAGAGGAGGCACCCAGGGCGGGACGTCTGCCAGCAGCTGCGGGGCCGACGGGCCGACGCGCGCGACCTTGTCCTTGCTCTTCTGGTGGCCGCCGTCGTCTGGCGCGGGGCGCTCACAAGCGTCGAGGTCGCCTGCCACACCGTCGCCTAGCATGGTAAGCGGCGGGCGTGGTGGCGTCAGAGGCACCGAGCGCGGGATGGGCCGAGGAGCCGCCGTCGGCGCGCGTCGCATCGTCGAGGGATGCGATATGCGTGCAACGTTGGAATAGACCAGCCAAGTCGCGGGCATCAGTCCTGACCATTGTTGGCGTGGGCCAGGGTATTTCTGGGAATATCTGCGAGATAGGTAGCCGACCATGATGCTGGTGGGAGAAAGACGGAGATGGCGAGACTCTTGGTTGGACTGTGGGTTAGACTGTTCGTTGAAGAGACAGAGAGAGACAGGGAGACTGTACCTTGAACAAGACTGTACCTTGAACAAGACTGTTCTTGAACAAGACTGTCCTTGAACAAGACTGTCCTTGGACAAGACTGTCCTTGGACAAGACTGTCCTTGAACAAGACTGTCCTTGAACAAGACTGTCCTTGGACAAGACTGTTGCTTGAGAAAGCAAGATGGTTGGTTGTTCCTTGGGGAGAGGGAGGGGGCGGGCCCTTCTTCTACATGGTGACGGGCATCACAGTCCAGGCACTGCGTCAGACCGTTCGGCAAGACCGAAAAACAACGGCCCGGACAGGTGAGTGCGTTATTTACCAGCTAACCAGCTAGCTGGGAGTCGCTAAACTGGTTGGGAGTCGGTAAACTAGTTGGGAGTCGGTAGTGGGAGGCCGGCGTGGGACTGAGTCGCGCACTTCAGCAAGACCCTTCGGCAAGACCGAACAATAACGGCCCGGGACACGTGCGTGCGTTAATTACCAGCCAACCAAACGGAACCGGACTAGTTGAGAATCCGCAGTCAACGGCCGGCGTGGAATTGAGCCAGGCACTACGTCAAGCCCCAAAGTTCCCTCTGCCACGCCTGCTGGTGGATTTTCCTCAGGCATCAAGCATCACATGTACTTTCGTGTTTGTTGCTTGTACGTGCTTTCGTCTGGTTAATTAGCGACAGGCTAGATGCGCCGTCGTATCATTAGGGAAGACGGCTTCGGCACCGACGACCCGTACAATCCATTGGCTGGCACGTCCATTGGCTGGCACTTCCAAGACCGGTAAAGGCACTGGCAAACGTCTCGACCGTTCTCTGACTAGCCCGTCGATCGGCGAACTAGCCCCGACCGGTCCTGCACAACTACCGGTCCTGCACAACTACGGGGTCCTTGATGGGCCAAAAGTCTCGACCCGTCTCTGACTAGCGAACGTTGATCGGCAACAAGTCTCGACCGGCGTTTGACGCTGTGGCCGGCTGCTCGCGGACATAAAGCTATCTGATCCTGGCTGCCTCGGTGAACACTAGCCTAGACTCTTCTCCCCCGCACCGCGCCAACGCAGACCTCGCCTACACCGCTCGCACAGAGAATGACTCTCCATACTACTCTCCTACGAGCGACGTAGATATGGACGAGGCCGCCGCCGCCACCGAATCAACGATCCAGGATGTCGACTTTGGCCTGGCCGTAGGCAGCCTCGCGCTGTCTGCCGCCATCCAATGTCTGCTGTTCGTGCTGTTGTGGAAGGAGGTGCGGGTGGCGTCGTTGCTGCCGCCCTGCGAACGGAATCGGGGTTCGCCGCTTGCGGTCCTCCTGATCTTGCTTGCCTGCTCGGGCATTATATTCATCTGCCTCTGTGCTTCCGTGGTTGTCTTCTTCGCGGCCTGGGAAAGCAGGCCCCGCCCTGTCCAAACGCACCTGTCCTTGGCCATCTTGGAGCTCGTGTCGGTTCTGTCCGTCCAGCTGGCTATAGTATGTGCGCTCTTCTCTTGCTGCTTCTCTTGCTGCTTCTCTTGCTGCTTCTCTTGCTGCTTCTCTTGCTTCTTTGCTTCCCTGCTTCTCTTGCTTCCCTACTTCTCTTGCTTCCCTACATCTCTTGTTTCCCAGCTCCTCTTGCTTCCTTGCTCCTCGGCTAATACATACATGGCAGGGCAAGGCCTGGGTCATATTCTGCATCATGTGCGCCCGGAGCCTCCTGAATAATCCCGTCTACTCGGCTGTCGTCGCGTTCGGGCTCCTCTACGCCAGCCACATCGCCATCGGGGTCGTGCTCCTGACCAGGCCCGAGATCCGGATCGGCAAGAAGCCACTCTACGAAGCCATCCTATGGTCTTCGGGCGCCTTGATCTACGTCGCCGCCGCCGCCATTGCTTCTCTTTACTACTGGAAGCTCAGCCTCGCGCCCAAGAACAAGCAGAGACTCGCTTTCCTGACCCTCGTGCGCTGACCGTATTTCTGGGCGCCGTCGTGGCCATGGCCCTGCAGGCGCATTATTTCGTGCAGTACGCGCTCTGCGTGGTCTCTTTGGGCCTAAACTCTGGGTTGCAGCGGTGGTGGGCACGGAGAGACAAGAAGCCATCGACATCGCAAGGCCCTGAATTCGTCACACCCCAATAGGGTGTCTTAGTGCGTCATACCCCATTAGGGGTACATAAGGGGGCCAAGACGATTTGACTACGGCGGGAGGTAAAGGTGGGGGTGGCGGGAGGGAGTCAGTCATTTATTGCGTGCTTGCTATTTGCTTGACTTTCTCAGAGCAGGTGAAGGTGGCGGCGAAGAGTCAGTCATTCATCTCATGCTTATTACTTCTTGCATTGTGCTTGTTGCTTGGAATGCAGTGCTTTCGCTTTATTGTTGCGGGAGGTAGAGGACATGGTAGAGTGATGCATGCGATCGAAGTTGACAGCGCATTGAATTATCTGGTTAAATTAATACACGAGTGGGAACACAGAAGATGCCGACTGTGGCTTGCAAGGTGGTTCAGAGTGGCCCAAATCTAGGCGACGTGGAGCACAAGGATGAAGCAGGCTGGCCAGCCGAGTACAGCCCTTGAGAACCTAGATGACACTCGATCAATCCATACAAGTTGCTATAGCGATACGAGAAAAAGGCAAAACAACGACATGGGAAGTAGAAGGACTGAAAAAGTCAAAAAATTGAGGAGGTCGGCTTCCTTTCCGCTGCAAGGCGAAGAGAAAGCCGTCCCAAGCCGCGTGGAGGAATGTTGCTCTGCACTTAGTCAAGCTATTAACTAGTGAGTGCAGGCCCGTTTCTTGGCGGGGCGAAACTGCCATGTCGTCTACGCACCGCCAGGGCTGACGAATTAGGCTTTCACGACCGTTTGCCCAATCTAGCCACCGAGTCATCTCGATTCTTACTCACCCGCGGGCACTGCGCAGTCCATTGACCTCTCGCGCCACCTCCACACAGAGCTACGCAGCAACGCATCCGTGGCCGAGACGTCTAGCGGCGCGGCGTCGGCACCAGCACGTTAATGCTGTACGAGGTTTGCCATATACCGAGTGCGTGGGCCGCAAACAAGGCGAAACCCCCTCAATGTTTGTCCTCCTCGATCCATGTCTGCTTCGATGTTTGTTGTGTATAAGAAGAGCCCGCCCCTTCCCTCTCCCTCTCCCACTCTCTTCACCTCTCACACTGCCATTATCAATCTTCAAATACCAGTCTTCTCACCCACCAGTCTTCTCACCCACCAGTCTTCTCCCCCACCTGTCTTCTCATGCGCCAGTCTACCCCAAGCTCCACAACATGGATCGCCAGTCTGCTCGCCTGCATACAGGATCAAGGCTTTCGCCCACAGCCCGGATGGCCTTGAACAATGCCACACGCTGGGCTCAGGCAGCCCCCCCAAGACTCCCATCAATCCCCGAATGGGGCACTCCCGAGGACGACCCGCGGTTGCCCCGGTGGGGGTGGCAGTTACCGCTTACACCATTCCCATCTCCAGCACTGCGGCCGACAGTTCCATCGCGGCCGACAGTCCCATCGCGGCCGACGACCCCATCGCCGGACGGATGGGGCCTCGGGGACCTCGCGGCCTCACCAATGCCAGCACCGCCCCGCCTCAGCGCAGAGCCAACCCCAGGGTCTCTGTCGGTCCCACAGCTCCCGCCGCACACCGTCATACCAGGGTTCAGGCACATAGCGGACGAGCCCGAGCCCGAGCCCGAGCCAGAACGACACGCCACGCAGCAGCCCGAGGCCGCGGCGCAGCCACACGCGGGCGCCACGAAGCGAGCCACGCCAGCCGGGCGCCAAAGAAGGGCGAGGAAAAAAGTCTCGCGTCTAGAGGAGCCGGGGCCGCAGCCCGAGCCCGGGTCAGAGCCCGAGCCGTCCAACGCTACTGCTGCTGCCGCCCGCGCGCCCGCTCGTGCCGGTCTCACTCGTCGTGGCGGCGGCCGCATGCACCGCTGAGCCACTGCAAATGAATGTCAGGAGGAGGAGGAGCTGGGGGGGGGACGAGTAAGACTGTCATGTCTTGAGGCGCGTGTTTTTGCAACCTAGTGCTTTGTGTTTGTGCTTGGCGCAGTGCTTTGGTGTTTTTGCTTGCATGTACTTCGTCTAGCTGGCTACAGGCCATATTATTTGTCAATTAAACAGAAATGCTTCTCCAAAGTGCCGAGTTCCAAGGTTCACAAGGTTCCCCTATCAAGCCTGCTGGTAGATTTTCTCTAAGCATCGTGTCCCTTTCGACCCGCTGGTGCGAGTCGTCTTCTTAGACCGCTTGGTTGAGAAAAAGAAGTCAAAGCCCTCTAAGGCGGTGAAGACGTACGTGATGCGGCGCGACGAGTACCACTTGATCGATATGTTCCAGGATGGGTTTGATGGTACGGATGCGATGACTGTGGGTGCCCGGAGGGGGATCATAATGGGTGCTCGGAGGGGGATCATAATGGGTGCTCGTTAATCTTGCTCATGTTTGTTGTACGACGTGGCAAGGCAGGTCCAAGCAATTCCGAGATACAGAGGCCCTACTAGGAATCGCCACTACCTTATTCGATGGAAAGGATGTATGGTAGACGACGATTCGTGGGAGCCGCGCGGACACCTTGATGATGGGCTTTTGCTTACAGACCACGAGACAAATCTTGTTGGAAGCAGCACAACATGGCTTGAAAGCAAGGAAATATAGATATTTAGCGGCTTAGAACCGGCGGCGAACCGGCGGCGAAGCCATCGACAACGTGCTATAGGTCCAAGAGAAGGGCTAGCATAGCTTTAAAGCAGATCCGAAGCCTCTCTCCCTTGCTAAAATACGATGGGTATCGCGCAACTCCTGGAATGCGCAAGTGCAATATGCCGCCCAAATGAGCACCGCGAAATCGGAAACACCCAGAGCCCGAAAAAGATGCTCCTAATCCCATGTCGAGTCCAGTAAAAGGATTCAAAATCCATCCAGAAGAATCTCAAGAAGGGGCTTAGGCGTAGCGCCCTAGACAATATCCCAACCAGGAAGTTGCTCGCTTACATGTCGGGGAGAAGAGGCGAAACCTCGGGCTCGTCGCTATCAACAGACGTACTAGACTAGTAATAATAGTCAGTAGCAGCTCAGACGGCGAAAAGAAGCTCCTACACTCACCTTGGCGGATTTGACAAGCTTGCGGGGGCGGGAGCTTGTATCCTTCGAAACAGTGCGTTTGAGAGACTTGCTGGAGCCGAAGGCGGAGGAAACAGCCGATATGCGAGAACTGGATTCAATGAGAAAGGAAACCGCAGATTCAACCTTCGCGAATAGCTTAGCAGCATGAGTTGAGGACTTGGGCGTAGCAACCCCCTTCAGAGAATTGTGACCAAAGCCGGCGAGTTTGACCGAGTTAATATTACGGCCCACTGGACGATGCACGCGCGGCTCCATCCGAATGTTCAACTCCGGCAAGTCCTTGGCAGTGGAATTGACGGACTGCTTGAACGCAGCGAGGTCCAAGGCAGCAGAATTGACAGACGTCGAGACAACAGTAGCTGAATACTGGTCCTGCTGAAGTGCTTTCTTAATGCGCTCAGCAGCTTCCAAGCTACGAGTCTGATACTCGGAAACCTCGCGTATTTGGGCACGCAGCTCTTTTTGAGCTGTGTAGAGGGTCGAAACGCTGTTATGAATGGTTGTGAAGTGAAGAGCGAAGGACTTCTCCATGTCTGTAAGGCTGGATTCTATTGCTCTCGAAAGCGCGAGGAGCTGAGAACTCATTTCCTGAACATCCTCAACACGGCGGATGGTAGGATGAAGGCGAGCAAGAGTACGTGAAACGATGCTTCGTATAGCTGCCTCGATATCTGTAACAGGAGAATCAGGAGCGCTTGAGGCTCATCATCCGAGCTATCGTTACGAGCAGTCTCGCTAGCATCTGAATTGTCGTCACTAGTAGTCTCGCTAGCATCCGAATCATCGTCACTAGCATCCTCGCTAGTAGCCTCATTATCAGACTCGGGGGTAGATTGACGGCGAGCAAGAGTACGTGAAATGATGCTTCGGATAATTGCCTCGGTATCTACAATAGGAGAATCAGGAGCAGCTTGAGGCTCATCATCCGAGCTATCGTCACTAGTAGTCTCGCTGGTATCCGAATTGCCGTCACCAGCAGCCTCGCTAGCATCCGAATTGTCCTTACTAGTAGTGTCGCTGGTATCCGAATTGTCGTTACTAGTAGCCTCACTAGTAGCCTCATCGTCAAAGTCGCGACCAGCAACCAAGCCGTCACTATCGGCTACAGAGTTATTTGAAGGCAAAGGGCTGTTCGAATCCTGCTCGGAGAGAAGGGTCGCGTCGTCAGGCTCGGCAGTGAAAGTCGTGCTGTCGCGATCCATAGAGGCAAGTGTGGCCACGGCAAGTGCGACTGCGTCAAGCTTGGGATACGCCCGAGGCTCAGAAACCTCAGCAAAATCTAGGGAGGGAGCAGCTTCAACCTGAGTTACGGAAGAAGGCTCTGCGCCGACGAGAAGCTCATTCTCAAGAGTCGGCTCTGCGATGCTCTGCGCAGTCCCATCCGTCATATAGTCGACGCTCGAGCGCGCAGGTTTCGAAGCCGAGCGAAAGTCGCCATGAATGGAGGCAGATAGCGGAACCATGCGCTGGCGATGAGGGAGCTGCTCAGAACTTCCGGTGCGGGCCTGCGAAGCTTTCGCGCTTGCAATTTTGTACTGCGAAAACATGGGAGGGAGAGCGAGAGGAAGCTACAAAGACGTTAGCAAACGCTGCGGAGCAGCTCAGGAAGAAGGGAGGCACCTACAGCATAGCGAGAATGGCTGTGCTCTGGGGTGACCGTCAATGGCGAAGCACCCTTCGGAGCGGGAGTGCTGGGAGGCGGACGGCGAGGCGGCCCACCCGCAGCGTCCTCGATAGCTAGGCGCATATCGGCGAGATGGGCGCACCTGTACGAGGTGCGGAAGGTTGCGAGAGTCATGTCGCTTCGACGCGGGGTAGGAGTCAAGTAGTAGAGAATGAGCAGTAGAGTACGGGGCAGTACTGGCGAATAATTAGCAACCAGACGCGACAGGAGCATGAGCAGCTCCCCCAACCTAGGCGACCGCCTCGCAAAGGGCAGAGCGCTCGGGAGCTCCAAATACGAAGAAGCTGCGCGTGAACAGAAACTCGGAGTTGAAAACTTACCGCGATTTGAGAGCTACAGTTCTAGAAGAAAGGAAGCCGATCAGGAACAGGAAGAAAGAGATATGGTGGGCCGAAGCGGATCCCTTTCGCCAGCACGCTTTCTGATTGGTTCCTGAGCTGCTCTAGTCCTGAAAGGGAAAAGCGGGACCGAACCTGGCCTGGCAAGCGGTTGACAAAAAAAGACGAACTCATTACTTTAAGGTACATCCCTGGAGGCCAGAGTAGTTACATATAAATCTAGGTATCTCTATGTAGTGGCTATTACTACCCTGTCATACGACCTTCGCCCTCTAACACATCTTACATCCGCCTTACCATGGAATCTACGTACTCATTGATTTTTGCTTGACTCAGTCGCCTCCATCCTTCAAATGCCAGGCCCATAATATTCGCATCAATTCGAAGATTGGCACGGATATACTGCTTTGCAGCCCTCCAGCAATTCTCAATTGTCGATAAATCTGGAGAGCCAGAGGTATTGAAGTAATGCTTCAATCCGTGCACGGTCTTGCTTCCACTGCTTCACGATATTCCCACGCTTCGAATTTCCACTTCCATGCCCTAAATCTCCGTCTTCTTCCAGCACGAAAGCATCGCCACGGAGAAGCCAAGGACTAGCAATCTTCTCCAGAATCTCGTCGCGATAGGTCTATAAGCTCTTTTCCATTGGTATTTGTTGGGACTTTGTAAAAATGCATCTCGGACTTGAAATTCCATCCGACGGCCGCCCAGACGTGATATCTTCGGATTTCGGTTCCCGCCGCTGGCTCAGGCTCATGGTGGTGAATACAATCTGGACAATAACGCTCCCCTGGCTTCCTGATAATCTGAATTGTCTCTTCGGAAAAGAGTCCAAAATGGCATTCATCTGACCACCGGATATCGTGCCAGTCCTCTGGACGAGGACGGTATTGAAGCGCGAGCTTGGCGGCTTGGATACGGCGGTTGGCACTTATTGGAGAAACAAATCCTTTTTCGCAAGCGATACATTTTGGATGCCTCCGGTCCTTGGCATTGCGTAGGATCTCCCAGCCCTGGGTTTTACTGCGGATGCCGAACTCTTTGAAAAGATCAGTGTGGAAGTTCTGGGCGTGGTGGTGATGGACTGGCGGTGTGGTGCCAACAGTGGTGGTGAGTCGAATGCCATCGAATGCTGTAAAATTGGTAGTGTCTGCTAGTGTAAAGCCACCCGTACAGACCAATCCATCTTTGCAGTTCGCGTTATTTTGCCAACCGCTTGCCTGGCTAACAAAAAAAAAAGGCACACCAAAAGCAGGATTTTGGTGACAGCCCTTACTACGCCTTACATCACTAGTCACTACCATTAGAATAATCGCCCAGTTCCCAAGGGGGAGTCTACTCGGACTGTAGAAAACGTCTACCATGCTGTAGGTACACGGCGCCCTGGCGACTTTGTGCACCGAAAAGGAGGCTATTTCCTGGGATGAAGCCAGCGCACCCAAGTTCAGATCAATTACCAATTAGCCACACACGTCGTCGCACCGCAATTGCACCTCGCCGCCGTCGCCAATTTCAATGCACTTCCAAATGCGTTAGTTTTCTCTCAGGGCCGTAGAACCCGCTCAAATCCTTCATTTCTGCAATAAAATATCAAGCTGCCCCCCGTTGTTGGTGCTTATATGACATGCCTAAAAATGCAATAAAAAGCTGCCCTATCCATGTATCGTCAAGACCACTGCTCTGCTGCGCTTCAAATACCGCAGCCGAAGCCCTCGTGGTACGACGGCTTGTTCTACCGCGTGTGGGCGCCTTTTTGATGCCTCCGCGGGCTCTGCGCGTTGTGGGCGCTGAAGCACGCGTGCCAGATGAAGTCTCGGTTCGCGAGGCCATCCACGGCTCGTTGTGCCTGCGCAGGAGAATCTTCCGTGGTGTTTTCCTGGTCCCTGTCGTCCCTGTCGTCTTCCTGTTGTAGGTTGACACCCCTGAACCTTGCGCCACAAATCGAACAATTTCTGATTGTAGGCGGGAAGACACCACAAGTCGCCCTGCTGGTCCACGAGGTCCGTGGGCTGCTGCCGATATAGGCTCACTGCACCGCAAGGGTGGATCATCTCTCGGTTCTCAGCGTAACTGCGGTCTCGCAGGGAGCCACAGTACTCTGTGTGGCAGAGCTCGACGAGCCGATATTTCAATCCATGACACCAGCTGCTCTTCTGGGTAACGCGAGGGCGCAAGGGCCGAAACCTGTCGAGTTCTTCTGAGCCGTCGTTAGGCCCCTGGATGTCCCGAAGGAAGTCAGGGTCAAGGCCGTTGATCTTTATTCATCCTCGTTGAGGTCACCGCCAGGTTCGTCGTTGTTAGTGCCTTAGTTTCCATCAGGAACGCCAGCCTAGCCTTGCTGAGCCACATTTATTGTGGATTCTCTAATTCCTTACAGACAACTAGTTGCCCGCAGCACATGCAAGGCGAGGAGATATCAAGAGAAGTGGTCTATCGAGGGGGACCTGGGCTCCGGAACCAGATCGTGTAGAAGATCATACACAACGGAGGCGCTGGTATCTGTGGTGTTGTGCACGAGGCCATTGGGCTTTTGCGCTAAGCATTTACACACTGCTAGATGTTGTGCCCTCCATTGGGTCTGTGGTATTCCCATCAGGCTATGTAGACGTGCCCTCAAGACCTAGTAAAGATGCAACCTAACCGGAAAGTACCGACATCGCGATCCGCTCAGCCTCCTGGCCAATATCTAGGAGCATTCTCCGTAGCTGGACAGATTCCAGCGCGCCGCCCGCCGCCGCTGCCTCGGCTCGGACCTGGCCTTCGACGCTGGCAAGGCTCTGGGATACGGCCTGGTATACGGCCTCGTCGGGCAAGCAAAGTAGCGTCTGCTGAAGGGCGATGAAGGACTGGAGACGCTGGACTGGGTCCTCGCGCATATATAGCGTGAAGCCTAGGTAGCGTAGCGCTTCCATGTGCCTGTGTGTGTTTAGTGCGGTTAGTATCTAATCGAGTGACGTGCCTAGATGATTATCTCGTAGTAAGGCTTGGCGAGCTGGTAGGGATCATTTACAGCTAGAGTGTTAGAAGGGTAGATGTGCCGAGAAGAAAGTACTTGCCTAATATAAATAGCCTCGTTGCAGCGGCGGCGTTCGTCGCTCCTGCTAAAATACCCGCCTCTAGCGCACTTGCCTCCTGCTCGGAACGGTAACTGCCTGAGATGTGGTGGCGACGTCGGCGTGGGTGTTTGGTGGGACATGATTGGAATAATGGTCTAGTGTGTGACTAGGACGATGTGTCTAGTGTGTGACTAGGACGATGGTAGTGTGTGACTAGGAAGATGTGCTATTATGTGGAAGACGTTTTGTTGCCTGGACTGGGAGCGCGAACGATGGTGGTTGTGTGGAAGAGCAAGAGGTATCAGGCCATTTGAGTTAAACTTTATTATAGCCAGCCAATATGTGGCGGGCCCGGCTAGGAACCCACCTCTTCTAGCGCCATTTCAGGGTGCTTTCTTCTTTAAGCATCGCATCCACCACCAAGTCGGAAGGAGCGTCTTCGACCTCGTAATATGAGAAATACTTGTTCCAAGGTGTAGAGTTCGAATGAGGTTACATGGCTATATGTACGGCTACGGTTGTTCGGGTCCTCCCTCTGGGAAAGCATGCCAGTAAATTCCTGGCCAGGCCGCCACGTAGAATCTCGGGCCGTCAAAGGCGCTCCAATCCGGCATTACCTACTGTGCCCATTCCTCCGTACTGAGCAGAGGTTTGGTACACCTCCCCCGGGGTAATATTAAAGGTCAGCTCGTGAATTGGGGGTTAGCCAGGGTGTCAGCTAGCCACACACGTAATTTTCTCCACAAAGTTACTTTTCTAGGACTTTCTATTGCAAAATACCTCCATTCGAAAACCACGCTCAATCCACCCACAACTTCAATCACCCACAGCTTCAATCACCCACAACTTGAATCTACCCACAACTCCAATCCACCCACAACTTCAATCCACTGCATCCACCGCCCACAATGGCCACACGCATCGCGATTACCAACCTTCTTAACCCACACCCACACACACACACGCCGTTGCCGGAGCCACCTTCGACGCCGCATCGATGCCGAGACCTTACGCGCGACGAAAAGGTCGAAATTAAGGCCTTACGCAAATACTGTCATTTTTCCTTTGACGAGATCGCTCAGCTGACCAAACACATACATCGTCAGGTCCAAAAGGCCTGTGTTGATCCCTGACACCACAGAAATCGAAGGCTAGCCTTAAGCCCGGCATTCGGACCCCATATAGGCGGCAGCTTAAACAGTGACTCGAAGATAACGAAGAAGCCCGGTTCCTACCATGGTTTGACCTCCGAGCAGTACGGCCCCGACGGATTAAACGAACCGAAGCCAACAAGCGGGGCCGGGTGACCTGGTGTACAGAGCAGTTGCGTTTAAGGCCTAGGCCGGAAGACTGGGAATCGGTACTCGTGAGCGACGAAACCTGGGCCACTAATGACCCTATGTGGAAGAAGTGGGTTACCGTTAACGATACCGAAGAGTTCGAAAGCTAGGCTCCACTACGGAGGACGCTACACGGGTGGGTGTTCTGGGGCTCCTTTGCCGGCGCCCGGAAAGGCACGTTTTTCTTTTGGGAGAAGGAATATGGCGGTATGACGGCTCATAAATACATCTTCTTTATCCTTCCTTTGGTAGGCTTCTTCCATCCGGCTCGTCAACGCCAGGGCGAAGAAATCGTCTTTCAACAAGATAACGCACCGAGCCATAGTGCTAAAATAACAAGACAAGCATTCCGGGACTTAGCGATCCAAGTTCTGACCTGGCTGACCAATAGCCCAGATCTATCACCTACAGAGAACGTGTGGCCCTGGTTGAAGAATTGGGTAGAGAGCTACTACGATATTCAGTCCCTGAGCTCCTTGGAGCTCCGGGCGGCTGTTATGGCTGCGTGGGATGCAGTCCCAGAAGATATTTTACAACGGCTTGCCCACAGTATGCTAAGGCGGCTGCAGATAGTCATCGAAGCAGGTGGTAATACAATAAACTTTTTGATCAAAATGTAGTATTTTGGGCAGTTTCTTTGACCCCCGAACCCCTGATTTTGCTGTGTGGCTATGGCGAACATAGGTGGCAAATTGTGGTTACTTAAGTGCCTTGGTTGTACCACACTGATCTTTATTACCCTGGGGGAGGTGTAGTAACCACCACACCCTGGGGTGCGCATGTGACGGGCTATTGGGTCTTGACGCAGGCCGCCCTTCTTGGAGGCGAAGAAGTCTCCACCATAAGTCTCCACCAGTCCGAAGCTAATGGATTCCTGCTCGGATTGTGGCTGGCAATTGACGCACATGTCCGGGCTCGTTGCACCACCACCCCTCCCTCTCCCTCTCCTCTCCCTCTCCCTCTCCCTCTCCCTCCTCTCCCTCTCCCTCTCCCTCTCCCTCTCCCTCTCCCTCTCCCTCTCCCTCTCCCTCTCCCTCTCCCTCTCCCTCTCCCCCCCCCCTTTTCCCCATCTTTTTCTTCCATCATATCAGCAATACTCGACAAGTTAATTAATTTACCACAGCAAGCTGCTATGTCTTCTCTGGCTAAAGTTTCCGCCGCCAATGGCAACGACATCATCGAGGCCCGCGGGAGCGACGCTATCAACAATAATAGCAACACCGACAGGCGCGATAATGCCCGTATCAACGCCGAGGTCTTTTATAACGCCTTGACGAACGCGCCGGACAGGCGGTGGTACCACATCTGCCACGAGCTGAATATCCAGCCACCCGAGGAGTTTTGGGAGGGGTTCTGCGGATTGTCCATGCTCGGCGACCCTAGCGTGGCTGGGGACGACTTGGACCAGCCGTACTCGCCCTGGGCGGCATCTTTTTGCGAGCCTACTGCGCCCCGGGCGGCCGCAAGATTCGCTGCCAGGTTGCGGCGCAACACCCTTTGACCGACGTCTCCTCGCCCTGCCTGCAGTCTCGGCAGTCCGCCGTGCCCCGCCAACTACGCCCAGGACGGCGGTGTCAGTCGCCCGATCGAAGCGCATGACCATTTGACCGACGTCTTCAAGCTCGGGAGGAGGGCTCGGGGGGAGGGTTCGGAGGGAGGGCTCGGGGGGACGAGGCACAGCCACGCCGGTGCATTACGGGAGGTGGAGGTGGCAAGGCAGTGCCTTCGCGTTTGTTAGTTGCTCATATTTGTCATTTGTTATACGAAGGGTGCCTTCGCGTTTTTTAATTGCTTATATCTGTCATTTTTTACACGAGGGGCCAATGCAGTGCTTTCGTGCTTGTTACTTTCACAGGTTACGGCATTACCTGCCCTGCCCTCTTCCTCTTCCTGTTAATACTGCGCGAGGCGACAACTCTGCACGTGAAGAGAACTACTGGTCAGTTTTGGGATTAGTTGAACCATGATATGTTTCAATTGTCTGCTCCATGAGGCTCTGCTCGGGAAGAGTTAGATTTGTTATGGAAGTGTGATGTCTCGTGCCCGCCGCCGCGTGCACGTTGGGAGGTTGGCACAGGTATTTGCCGCGGTACAACACGGAGTCATACCTACCGACTCACCCACCTTACCACTAGCACCCAAGATGAAGTTTTGGCCAGAGCACAAACGGCCTGTGGGCCTCTTTGAGCTCCAATTAAGACCCTGGTTTGGTTTTATCAACGTATTCCAAATTTTGAGTTTCCTAACCATGATGGTAACGATGGAGAGTCCGGCATCGATCACCAGACCTGGGCAAGTTTTAGAAACAGGGAAGGTGGATTACCAAATAAATTAACGTTCCAAGTAACCAGTGACTTCGATACATAACATAGAAGCAGCAACGCGCCTGCCCTGCCTACTCATTTCTGACCAATGAAGCCAAGCCTATTGGAATTGCGGCATTCATAACCGTCCTGCGGGCCATCTCGACGCGACCGAGCTCCCAGATCTGCCGGCTACGATCAAGGAATTGACGCTGTGCAGCATGCCAAGTTTCCTCGAAAATGCCGTGCCATCGAGAAGACTGCCATCGAGAAGACACCCTTTCCATTCGCACTGGATCCACACGTTTGAGGCCAAGCTGAAGTCAATATCCATAGCCGGCCTATCGCAAATCGCGACAGACAGACCGGAGCAACTGCTCGGTCCTCTCTGGTTCTGAGGTGAATTGCGAGGTAGTCGAAGACGGGCGTGGAGTTGCGGGTCCAGCATTAGGCCAAGCGCTAACAACAGCCCGTGACATGATGCGCATTAGCTGCCAGCCATCGTCCGAAAAGCAGCAGTCCATTAAGTTTCGGACTGGTGGAGACTTTTTCACTTGTCGAAGGCGAGCATGGAACTGCAGGCCATGCACTACGTCAAGACACAACAATAGCCCGGGACATGTGTGTCAATTGCCAGCCACCGTCCGCCCAGGAGCCGGTCGAGACGGGTTCGCTTATTATTATCGAAGACGGGCGTGGAACTGCCAGTCTAGCAGCAGCACTGCGTCAAGGCCCAACAACAGCCCGTGACATGCGCTCCTCAGGGGTGTGGTGGTGGTGGTGGTGGTGGTGGTGTGGGCTTTGGGACCTCTGTCCAGCACTGCGTCAAGACCCAACAACAGCCCGGGACATGTGCGTCAACTAGCCGCCACAATCCGCGCAGCAATCCACTATTAGCTGGGAGCCTGTCGAGACTTGTTCGGCTATCGAAGACGGACCTCCTGGAATTGCGGGTCATGCACTACGTTAAGCTCTGATAGCCCGTCCTCTAGCCGACGGGGGCGCTGAACTTTTTCATCACATATGCTCCCTAGGTGGTGGTGGTGGTGCTTAGCACGCAGTCCCGAGGCGCATTGCGAGGCCGAAGAAGAAGACACCCCCCCTTTTGGGATACTGTGATTCATTGTCAGCCTGGCTCGCAAGAATCTCCGAGGCAGGGCATTACCTCGGTCTCTTGGGCGGGGGCGAAGTCCAGTCTTGGGCGCTTCGCCAGCACTACCTACTCAAGCTCCACCACCTTCATCCGCCCAGTCTCCCCGTTCCACAGCAAATTAGTGTCCCACACGCCCACAGCGCCCGCAGCGACCGAACCACCTCGCGCCAGACTGGAATAGGCCAGTAGAAGTCGCGGGCGGCATCATATGCCTCAGGGGCGGGAGAATGGAGGGAGTGTGGTTTAAAAACTTGTGGCCGGGAAGTCTCCTTCGAGCGCCGTCGCAGTGACCCGATCCTCCCTATACCTAAAGAGACCCCGAACGACTAGATTCCTCCCGAATACAAGAGATGCCGTGGTTGTAACTTGGTCAAACATAACTAGGACTTTATGCGGGGTCCTAAAATGCCTCAGCCACCCATTCCCTTGAGCGAAGCGAGGACAGCTCGCCTGCGGCGCCACCGGAGGCAAAAAAAAAAAACAAGAAACAAAGTGGCCCCGTTCAGCTGACCCCTTGCTAACCAGTTAGGTAACCTATTTTACGTACCGCTAGCTCGAAGCACCTCGGCTGTAGATTTCAAAGACCGCAGGGGCGCTTGTTCCTGGGATATGTGGAAATTTTGCATGTGTGTGGATTTTTGTGTATATATAGAGAGCTTCCCTCCCCCCTTCTCCCACACGTCTTTCTTCCTTCTCTAGGCAGGCAACCATTCCTTGATCCTCGCTTCCTACGTACCATCACCACTTTGGTCTCTTCTCCTCAACGATATCATGGCCCCCGTGCCCCGTGCTTAATCTTAGTACGGGCTGGAGAATATTGGACGCCCCCAAATAAACAAAGACGAAAAGGAAGTACAGACCAGCTCGCGACGGCTGTGGCTCCCGGTCCGCGGCCGACGCTGCACGCGACAACGGCGTCAGTAACAACAGTGGCCAGTCTAGCGTGGACACTACTGCTGTTTGGACTCTGGACACTGCCAGCGATGGGTATTCAACCCCTCAACCTCGTCCAGGTCACGCGCCGCCACATGGGACGATACGTGACCCAGGGGCCAGCTCCCAGGACGCCAACAAGAGCCATGCTTCCCAACATGTCGAGAAGCGTGAGGAGGTCTGCGTCTTTGGCAGAAACACAGCCAGCTCGCAGCCCATAAGCTCCCAGTCCGACTTGCAGGCCGTCGATGCCTGCAGCCGCGCGTAGCTGAGCCAGGACGAGGACGGCCAGAAAGTCGGTCGTAAGCGTTTTCAGCCGCCAACCGTGACAGCAACGACAACCGCAACAGCGACGAGGCCCATATTCAGGCTCTCTCCCAGCGCAGCAATGCCTGCATCGAAACCACCAAGAAGCCCGACGTGGCCGTCACCTTGGTCCGCTGCATCCGAGCGGGCTTTTGACTTGGCCGCACGTTCACATTTCCCCCGTCAAGGTTGTGTGTGCCTCGAGGCGCCCCAGCCGGAGTGCTAGGTAGTCTCAAGGGGCGTAGTGGATAGTTTCTTCCCGTCGCCTCGTAACAAACAGTTTGAAACGCGCGCTGCATCGCTCACCCGCGATGGGAACGTGCAAATGAGGGCGCGAGCAGTGGTAGCTTGTCATCATCGACGACGGTATTTCGCTGGTAATTTTTTTTTTTTTGGATTACCGCTTCGATGAACCTACTCACTCTGTCTTTCGGCAGTAATTTTGGTATTTTAAATTGAGAAAGTCTCTCGGACTGTAGGGTACAAAGCGCCCTGGCGCCAAGCGACAAAACCCTACTTTTCGCACCAAAAAAGAGGCTAATCAATGGGATGAAGCCAGCGCACCCAAGTCCAGGTCAATTACCAATTGATCCGCCCGTAATTGCACCTCGCCGCCGTCGCCGCCGTCAATACACTTCCAAATGCGGTAGTCTGTTGTTGGCAGCCAGAGCCGTTGCAACTGCCTTGAAGCAGCAGTCCCGCTTTATGGTGTCTGTCTTGCAAGAATGTGCCTCTGAGGGCCGTAATTTATCCCAGAGGCAGGAAATATCGTCTCGCTAAGGCCCAAAGTCCTTAATGTAGTTGCAGACGCGCTCTTTCTTAACGGAAAAGCCCTGTTCATTAGCCTAGGCTCGAAGCTCAAGCATCAATATGTCGATAGATTTATATTTGTGGTTGAGGAGGCTGTGGTCGGGTGGGAGCGCCGTCACGGGCCTTGCAGGCGGAGCGGGCTCGCGAGCCGGCAAGTCGGGTGTGAGGTAAAAAGGGTTGTCGTCGGAGAGAGAATCGTCGCGCGAGGCCATTCTACTGCTAGTTAGCATCGCCGATTAAATATGAACCAATGCACCTACTTGCGCAGCGATAAAATCGCGTTTTTGTTGTTGTGGCTCAATTGACGGTATTGTGGTGATGTTTTTGGTGGATTTGGTGGATTTGGCGATGGCTTCAATTGCAGCCTCGCAGGGTAGAAATTTGGCTAGGTTAAGTGGGGGGAGGGGCGGGGGGGAGGGAGGAGGGAGGGAGGGGTCCGGGCGCTGGGCGCGGTTGAAGCTGCATTGTACCAGCTATCTGAAGATGAGCGGGTTGGCCATCAATCTGTTGTTTTTTTGCGGGTAAAACAGGGATTCGGCTGGGCTAGTAGCTTGGCGAAGATTCCAATGTGCTTTTTTGCCACCTGCAGTCCGAGTAGACTTTCTCTTTAGATTTGATCTTGTCCACCAGTGCTTCCTTGTGCTGGTGGTCTGCGCACAGGCAAATGGAGATGGAGAATCTCCATCAAATCTTTCCTAATGCTTCTTCTTTGATGTGCTCGGTGTCTGCAAACCGCGACTCGTCACTCGGCCAAACCAAGGCGTCGGGTAGGCAACCGAAATCCTAATAGCCTGCCCGCCGGAGCCTCGGGCGCTCGTCCTTTGTAGGACGATACGCGCACCTCATCGCCGAAGATATTGCGGGGGTGCATGCACAATGACGTCGTGGGCACGAGATGGGGTCGGAGCATGCATCGCATCCGTGAAGGTGGAGGAAAAGATCAACCCCTGCGGCGGAGGACAAGTGACGACCTCAAACCATGGTGCGCGGACGGCCTTGTGAGAGACCATCTAATGTATATCAGCGTCTGTGGGGCTTTTATTCTTTTGCCGTTCCCGGTTCGTGTGTGTGTGTTGGCATCACACCTCATTCGTCTGGGCGTGCCTGCCCTGCAGCCTGGGGCAGAGCTCTGGGGGGGCCTCGGACCGGCCTCGCTGGACTCGTGGGCACGCGGTTCATCACGTCGCCAAGAACGTCCCGTTCGTTCCACACGTGGGCGCTAGCCTCTCACTCAGCCCGTCGAGCCTCGGGAAAGCCGCACCGGATTAGGCAAGACGAAGCGCAGGATCGGGTAGGGCGCACCCCGACGGATACTGCCGACCCAGTCACCACCATGTGCAGAAGCAATAAGAACATGGCCACGACGTCCTGCACCGCCCTTTACCCTGCCAGATCTTTTTGCATGTTTCTCTACGCTAGGGTGAAAACAGCTGGGTACACCCGAACCCATGAGCATCACCGTGATATCGTAGTATCCGACCTCGTGTTGGCCAGGCTAGGTCTCTTCCGACAACGGAGTGCCGGTTCAATGGCGTGTCATCCGCTGAGGAGACGTTCAATGGTATGCCATCCGCTGAGGAGACGCTCAATGGTATGCCATTCGCTGAGGAGACGTTCAATGGCATGTCATCCGCTGACGAGACCCTGTGAGTAATAGCATCTGTCCAACTATGAATAAAGCCCTGTAGCCTAGGTAGATTACCGCTGACCTGATGAAGGCGCCCGATGGACGACGCTACGAAAGGGCCGTGCCGCGGCGGGTACGATTCGTGACGAACCCAAAAGTATGGCGCGTTCTGACCCTGGAAGTTACATCTTCCATTGGCTGTGGGATGGGACGCTTTACCGTTGCCCCTCTCGATATGGCCCGTGTGCGCAAGGTGGTCAACCTCTGGGCTGGTCCAGGCTGGTGGGCAGAGCACGTCCTGCATCCCGAGTCCCTCGCACTTTGTCAACTCATGATAACGGCGCGCTAGGGCCATGAGTATTCTCCATCCGATACTTCAAGTGATGGAATTCGACACTTGGCCATCTGGACGTTTTGAACGTCTTGAAAAGAGTTCTCGTAACCTACGACTTCGAATTCATCTGGCTTTACCTTGAGCCCTGCCCAAGCTACTATTACCGCGAGATTCAGACAGGGTCCATACCTGTCGTCAAAGAAAGGCTTGAAAAGATGCGTGAGGAGTTGGACCAACCAGCATAGAACGCTACGTGGAAATTCTGGACGGAAAGGTGCGGTCGACGCTCCCCAACAACCCACATGCTGACCTGCAGAGAATGCCGCCGACATCCGATCATGATTTGGCATACCTTACAGCGGCAATGCCTACAATAGAGCGATTTTATCGGCAGCCTTTCAGTTATGCTGTTTTGACGGGGAAGGGATCCAAACCTTGGCAGGAGCGCTGCGGCCGACTTCGAGCGAATCCGCCACCATGAAGGAGCACGATGGGCAATGTGGACAAGATTTGGGATTTATTGGACAACTCGAAGTGGTGATGCAATCTCGGCCCGAACATCATGCACGGGTCTGGGCTCGGCTTTTGCCCCTGTGGCGGTGCCTGACATGTCGATGACCACCGTGCCCACCGAGCAGGAGCTATACACGACGTATCGGCAAATCACTACGTTCCAGCCTTCCCAGAACGTGGGCGGCGGCGGCGGCGGCGGCGGCTTCGTGGATAATGACAGACAAACAGTCCGGACGGTTTATGAGGAGAATATCTTGTTTCAGACCCTCGATGTTGCCTCAATGGAACGACGGACTATATGAGGTAGAGTCCGGCTGCTCGTGCCCCGGTTATGGGATGAGCGTTACCGGGCCTTGACAGAAAAATGAATGTGAACAATTCGTGTTCGAGACGTGCCAGTTGACTTTCTAATCACGGAGCTTTGATGGCACCTCCCTAATATGAAGCAAGAAATAATGAAAAAAACCCAAGGCCCCCCCCCCTGGCCGCTAGAGTCGCAGGCGCTCTTCTGAATCCCGTACGCCCTCGAGAGGCTGCTAGAATGTGGGGTTCTCCGACGCGTCCCCGAAAGGCTGCCACTCTGGCAGGTCCTCTTCTGAATGAAACGCCTCCTCGAGAGGCTGTGCCTCGGTGGCCTCACCCGCCTGCGCCTCTGCTGCGAGGGGGTTGCGGTCGGCGGCTCCCGCGAGCTCCTCAAAGGCCCCATCCGGCTGCACCTCTGCTGCGACGGGGTTGCGGTCGGCGGCTCCCGCGGGCTCGTGGAGTCTGTTCCAGTGGTTGCAGTGTTCATCCCAGGCAGCCAGGGCCACGGACAGCGCCGAGTCGGTATATACCGCCGGGTCCATAGGCAGCCCGTCCTGCTTCATACCTGCCACGGTCAAAGGAGGCCGGGGAGGAGCCTGCATGTACAACGGGGCCCGGCCCGGCAACGTTGGGGCAGACTGCGGCGGGTGCGTAAGGGGCCCGAGGCCTGGCTGCGCCGCCGCCGCCGGCCAAGTTCGTGGGATCGGAAACTGCCTGTAGGGCCTAAGATCTAGCCCAGGTCGTGGGATCGGCAACGGCCTGTGGGGCCTGAGACCTGGCCAAGGTTGTGGGATCGGCAACATGGGGTACCCGGGATCTGGCTGCACCGCCGCCGGCCGAGGTCGTGGGATCGGCAACGTCATAAGGTGCCTGAGGCCCATCTGATCTATTGATGGAATTGTTCGACGTTGTGATGCCGTGCCCTGCGTGTGTGTGGCAGGCCGGAGCATGTTGCTAGTGTGAGGTCTCAAGATGGAGAAGAGGTAGTTGGACGTTGGACTGTTGGTGGTGTGAGGTTTTAGGGGATAAAAAAAAGGAGGAAGATGGAGAAGACCATCACTGTCTACATAGAGAAATATAACTTTATTACAGCCGGCCAACCCGACCTCGGTAATGAAATGAAGCTTTTTTTCTTTTCCGGCGTAACTCGGGAGTCACCAAGGCAAAAAACAAGGTCAGGCCGCCGGCGGCGCCTGCGTCCATATCTTGAATCTAAATTAGATGTCTCTGCAGAGCAGAGCCTTTAGGCAATAGCCTTTGATGGCCTGATAGCCTTTGGCCAAGTCTAGATAACACATTCTACTCCACTAATGGTCTAGATGATGCGTCCACACTCGATCTATTCAGCAGAGGCATCTAATTGCCTCTGCTGAACAGAACCTTCAGGCGTACCTCGCGGCTTGGCGGTGGCATTCCTGCTTGAGTCGCCAGGGCCAAGGAATCAGGCTTTCATCGGCGCAGACTTCCTGTAGGAGGTCAGTGCTAAGTCCACGGGAGCCCGCCTCTCGACAAAGCTACGAGACACGCAATGTCATCGTCACTCGAACGTAGCCTGGCACTGGAGGCATGGTAAATCTTCCTGGGTAATTCAACCTAAGAGAAGGCCGCCATACCCCGGCAGAGGACAACCCAGAGATTTTAGATGACGGCAAGAGTGAGTTCAAAATTGTATTCATCGAAATCCTAGAAGCGCGCATCGCTTCTAGAGGGACTATGTATGTGCCCCAGCATCGGGGCACCTGCCTCACGGATCGACCCGACACAGCAGTATGTATCCCCAAGCCCAAGAGCAACAGGAGCCCAACGTTTTCTCAATGCGCCAACTTCCTGACACGCAAGTGGCCATCTTCATCGGCCGTGCAGATATCTTGGAGGATATGTCGACATAACATACCTCCAACGTCCCCCTCGAAGCAGAGACGACCTAGCGATTTACGCTCCATGCAGGCGTTGGAAAGACGGAGCTCGCAAGAGAGTACGCATACAAGTACAAACACGAGTTCGACGCTGTATTTGGGGTCGGGGCCAAGCGAGCAGAATCCCCCAGGAACGCCTCTACCACCATTGCCTTGGAGCTGCACCCTGAGGGAGCAAAGGTTCATGGCGACCCGATTCACAACCTCGGGCTGGTTCATCGTTGGTTCAGGGTGACAAACCGGAGGTGGCTACCACTCGAGGCAGCCTGGGCAACAGCAGAAATCCAGGCATCCACGGCCGCCAATGGCTCTGTTGACCTCGCAGGTTCTGCAACTCCTACTGGTTTCTCGTCCCCCTCCACCACGGCCTCGGTCATGACAGGACACAACTTTCAGGGCACCCATTTGCTGCAAAGCTCGGAACCCAGACCAGCGCCCAAACCAAAACCGCGTCATCCCACACGCCGCCGTCTGCGGCTCCCGACGCGTTTGAAGCCTGTCCGGACGTGTTATGGCCTGGAAGCAGCACGAGCGCATGGGAGGAGGGCACGCCGACCCATGGGGTTGCCTTTGGGGCCGACGCCGTGTCGTGTGTCGGCCATGGTAGCAGCGCCAACCGTGTCCGGGACGCCAGACGGCAAACGGGTGCACAGTGGTGGTTTGTCCGCGGGGCCCTCTTCGACGCACAGCGACCTGAGTCATCGTCGCCGCCTGTTGTTTCCTCGGTCCGTTGCTTCCCGCAAGCGCTCCGGGGCCCGGGGGTAAATGCGTCTTTCGTCTGGGGCTCGTGATGGAATCTGAAGGTGGCCAGCCGCCCTGCTTCTGTCTCGACACGCTACTAGCAACGCTGCGACGAACGACACGCTATTAGCAACACTGCGACGAACGACACGCTATTAGCAACACTGCGACGAACGAGAGGTGAGTTTGGAAACTGCCACTGCGTGTGCGATCAGAGAGCGCTCGGCTGGGCAGTTTCAACCAAACATGTGTGTTGGATGAACACATTCAGAATGTACAAGCCGAAAATTCCATCACGGCGCCAGTTTTTGTTGGGGAGGAGGGTACATTTCTGTATAGGGGCTGACACTGGCCTTGGGGAGCTTGGTTCGGAGCCCGGGCTCCCGAGTCGGGCAAGGTGAGCGGCGACCGGATTTCAAAGCCTGCTGCGACAAAAGCGAGTGTGGGCAGCCACAACCTTGGAGTCAGATGACTAGGAAGAGCCTCGTTTGCCGCAAATGCGCGCCGTCGCCGAATTTTAAAGCCTGCTGCGACAAAAGCGAGTGTGGGCAGCTACAAGCTTTGAGTCGGATAACTGGGAAAAGCCTCGTTTGCTGCAAATGCGCGCCAGAGGCCTGGAGCTGGGGGAGCCAACAATTTCGTGGCCCTAGGAAGGAGCCCCTCTACGCGAGTCTCGTCCGTCCGGTTCGAGGGTGTAGCTGCCCCTCCAAAAGTCGTTACGTAATTATGCCCTCCTGACGGAACTTTGCTACCAATTAGGCTACCAACGATGATCTTCGCCGCCAACCAGGCTACCAACGATAATCGGCCCCTATAGAGGCCTTGATGCCTACATTGTTGCCTAATACCGGTCTTTTGGTCGAAGGATAAATAAGCCCTACTTTTCTTTTATTTTTTCCCTTGAATAGATCAAGACTTACATACTGTTGGAACAACGCGCATTCCAGCCACATAGAGGTGGCTGTAGCGACGCATTCATCAGCCACACAGGCGGCGGTGGAGGCGCAGGGGTCCCAGATTCCATATAAGTGGCCTACAACCACCTCTTTCTTGTAGATAAACATAGACAACAATAACCACCACTTAAACCACCAACTTTCGGCGAGCAGCGCGCCCTGTTGTTTCCAGTACCGGTACCTGTCATTCCAACACATACACTTCAATTGAGCTACATTGTGGCCAACAAAAGTTCCGTCGTCCCACACACACGGCCTCACCCGCTGACGCGCACGCGCACCACCCGAGGCACAGGAAAGATTTGTCACTGTCTGGGTGCGCTGGGGGAGGTGATCCCCCCTATTGCCTGCTATGGCAAATCGCGCACACCTAACGGCACAGCGGCCGTCGGCCTGCATCAGGCCTGGTAATAAGCCGCAAGAGCCACGCAGCAAGCAACACGCAAAACAACAATGCAGGTGAGCACAATGTATAGCGACGTTGCAAGTTTCGCCCGACTGGCAGGTCCTTACTACCCTTTCCACACCATTGTGGACGACGAGGGCTGGTGGAGAGGCTGCCGGACCCCGTTCGGCCCACACCATCGTGGACGACGAGGGCTGGTGGAGAGGGGGCAGCCAGCATCCAACATTCGCGCGTACCGGGACCTTTCTTAGCCGTTAGGGTGCGAGGCTCATCCGGCCAAGTTTTTTTTTTTTTTTCATTCCTTTTCCTTCTATCTTTTGAAACAACTATTCAGTTAGTAGATGGCTTTTTTGCTCCAAACCACGCAAACGCTGTTTGCCCCTTCGGTTGTCAACGCATGTCAGCCAGCCGAGATCAGACGCTCGTAGGCTCCTCAGGAGACGGCTCCTCCGTCACAAACGCGCGCCTCCCCTTCCATGCCTTGCGCAAAGCAGGATGAGGCACCCCATTTCCTCGGTACTCCTTCAGGGCAGCATCCTCAAGCCATGGCCCACTCCCTCCAGACTCTGATAAGCGGTGCGACACCGGCTTCCTTCAGGATGGTGGTGAATTAGCCTCCCTCGACGTAGAAATAGTCGTCTTTTCCACCATCCAGATACACAGACATAAGCCCGCTAAGGTCTGTAGCCGTCCACTTCATCGGCCATGCGGACGTTCGAATCCCACTCGGGACGTTGGCCATGTTTTCGAGGAGCATGTCGCGTCCGGCCCGCAATATCTCCAGCGGCACCCTGTCGCCCCTGAACCTATCACATACAACACTACACCAATTGAGGGGAAAAGAGTGCTTTTTTTCTTCCAGAAGGAAAGAGAGAGGGGCATAGCCTAGATACCCTGCTTTTTATGCATCCTTCGCTTCGTTGATCTATGCCACATGTGTGGCTTAGTGAGTGCGCCACGTATGCAGACCCTCGGCTTCTTCCGACACCAGCTTGCCGCAGACCCAGCCGCCGAAGTCGCTCAATTCGGCATTCCATGACAAAGTCGAGGCGGCAGTCCGCCCCGCCGGGGACGCCGAACACGGCCCGACGCCCCCCAGGGTCGGGGAAGGCGATTCTCCAGAAGCCAATTTCGGTTCCGTTGGCAGATTTGACGGCGAACCTTGTCTTGGTCAGGCCCTCGGCCGACTCAGCTTTGGGTACCAGTGGTGAGTTGGTATCCGAGCCCTCGCTGAGCTCTCGCTGAGCCGGCTGACTATGGCCCGTGCCCCACCTTGCGCTCGCCGGCCTATCGTATTTTGGGATCTCCACACCAGGCCACCACACAAATGCAGCCTAGATCCCAGTCTCTCCATCCACTCAGCTGATTGCGCAGCTGAGTTGGGTCTAGTACGCTAGCGCTACAGCGCTTCCCAGTTAGACAGGCCGCTGTAACTAGGCTAGCTTGGCTGATCGAGCCGCTGTGGCCCCCTATTGACCTGCCTGCCCGCGGGGCGTGCCAGCGAGTTGGTTGCTCGAATGCGTATAAGGCCTCTCGCTCGCTCCACGTCTGGCCGGCTAGCCGTAGAGCTAGCCAGCTTCCTGCGCATCTTATCGATCAATTGACCTCTTTTTAACTATGGCCCGCAAGCGACAGAGGGCGCCGGCGGCGCAGCCGGCTCCGGCTACGGCTCCGGCTGGCGGCCAGAGTGGGGATGTGATTACGGTTAGCGGCCTACCCCCTGTCCTAGGCTTGGGACGCGTGCAACGCGACGCACACAACAACGCAGAACTACGCGCCAACGCGCAAAGCATCCTCTCGGTAATCCACAATATGCGGCCAAAGAATACGACCTCTACGTACGAGCCAAAGCAGCGGGAATTCCAAAATTTCTATAGGCTACAGCAGTATTACGATGGGGATACCGTCACAGAAGACAAGCTCCTTTACTTCCTCACCAAGAGCGTCACCAGCCGGCCGTTACGAGCCAAAAGCCGGAAGGCGGCCGTGGATACCCCACAAGAAGAGACACGGCTAGCCTGGCGATCGGTCCGTAGCTATATCACGGCAATTACGGATCTCTACCGCACGCAAAAGGCACGCGGTATGAACATCCACCCATCTCCACGCGAAGACAATGTCCGGGACTATCTCAAGTCCTTACAGCGGCGCGATGCCGAGCAGGCCAAGACCAGCTATGCGGATAAAGGTTCTGATACTCTGCTGGATGGCTATACGGAGCTGGAGTTCGAGACGATATGCCACGAGCTGTGGGTACATACAGCCACCGGCCCAGCCGAGAGCCACCTACGGACCCTTGTCGACCTGCTTCTTGGCCACTATATGCTCACACGTGGAGGCGACCGGAGGGCTTTAGAGCTATCCGATCTATTTACCTTTGAGTTCCCGGACGAAGGCCCTACTCCTTGTATGCCGTTAATTATGACGACGCGGGCCGGGAAGACCAACCAGCACGGCCGGCTCGAGACAGCCGGGGCCCTACGGAACCGCAAGCCACTGATTTGTGCATTGAGCGGCCTCGCATTTTACCTCCTTTTTCGCTGGGATCTTACAGAAGAGCCGTTCCCAGACTTCAGCCAGCGGCCGGCGTGGTACGACATCCGCCTGATTACGAGCAGTAGTACGGGGCGGACGGCAGGTCTCTCCTACAACTCGCAACGGGAGTGGGCGGCCCGGGCCCTCTCATATGCCGGGATCAGCTCCCAAAAGAAGACACACATCGGCCGTAGCTCGGGAGCGAAGGTGGCCGAATTGAAGGGTGTTAGCGAGGATCAAATCCACCGGGCCGGCCGTTGGAACCAAGAGCAGATGATCGGCTGTTACCTCAACTCCCTGCCCCGCACGTTTATGCGTACTATGGCCGGCCATCCTCCGCAGATGGGATGCTTTGAGGTCCGGAGGGCTGGCGTGGCGCCGCCAGCCGACCTCCTTTCGATGATTTGGCCGCAGTTGGACCAGTGGCAAGGCCGGTTTGGCCCAGGGCCTGGCCAAATTAACGATCTAGCTGCTATGGGCTTTACTAACCTCCTTTTTTACCTCCGTGGGGTAGTTCTACAAGACTCAGCTGTCCTGATGGATAGGTTCCCGAACAGCCCAGTTTGGAGCCACCCAGTATTCCAACACCCGGGATATAAGCCATTCGCTAAGCAGGTGGCTGCTTTCGTGCAGGAAGAAGAGCGGCCCAGCCAACTGGCTGTGTTAACCCAAGCGCTTCCAGTCCTATCAGACTACTTAAAATCGATCGATGCTCGTAATGAGGCCCGGGTCCTAGAGCTCACAGCAAAGCTCCAAGCCACCGAGATGCGGCTTATCGAGGCCCAGTCGCAGCAGACAGTTAAGCTCCACAATATCCTTTCTGCTGGTCTTACAGTCCATATACAAGCAACCGCTCCACAGCCGGTCCTAGCCGAAGCGGGCCAACGAACTGGCCCTATAAATGGGCCGGGAGCTGGCCCTATGGCTAGGCCGGGAGCTGGCCCAGATGAACAAAGCCAGTATGGCTCTGCTACTAGCCGCCTTTGCAGCCCGGCTCCCACAATTAGCTGGCTACCGGTCGAAGGAGGAGAAGAACAGCCGCCACAGTACCGTATGAGCCGTGCAGTCAGGACGGTGGCAGACCTTTGGCGTGAGTGGACTGTTGGCCTCCAGGGCGGGCCGGCCGTGGCTACTCTTGATCGGAGATGGGGGA